GAAAGATCATATCATAGGGAACATGTGTACTAAGTTTCAAGTTAATTGGACTTCAACTTCATCAAAAACTACCTTGACCAAAAGTTTTAACCGGAAGCGCGGGAGACGGACTAACGGACAGACCGGAAAACATAATGCCCCTCTTCTATCGTAGGTGGGTCATAAAAAAATAACAGTACAACAGACCATACAAACAACAACCAACTAGTCAGACAAAAAAGATGAACAACCAACAACCAATACCAACCAACACACCAACAACAACCAACTAGTTAGAGAAAATAGATGAACAACCAACTAGTTAGAATAAATAGACGAACAATGAACAACCAACACACCAACAACAACAAGAACCGACTAGTTAGAGGAAATAGATGAACAACGAACAACCAACACACCAACAACAACCAACTAGTTTGAGAAAATAGATAAACAATGAACAACAAACACACCAACAACAACCGACTAGTTAGGGAAAATAGATAAACAATGAACAACCAACACACCAACAACAACCGACTAGTTAGAGAAATAGATGAACAACGAACAACCACCACACCAACAACAACCAACTAGTTAGAGAAACTAGATGAACAACGAACAACCAACACACCAACAACAACCATCTAGTTAGAGAAAATAGATGGACAACGAACAACCAACACACCAATAACAACCAACTAGTTGGAGAAAATATATAAACAACGAACAACCAACACACCAACAACAACCAACTCGTTAGAGAGAATTGATGAACAACGAACATGTTAATCCCACAATATTATTTATGTGCCTGTCCTTAGTCAGGAGCATGTAATACGGTGGTTGTCGTTGGATTCTGTTTGCTATATTTGTTTTTCGTAATTGTTCCTAGCATATGTTGATTTTCTCTTTTGAATTGTTTCACCTTTTGTTATGCCAGGGCCCTTTATAGCTTACTATATGGTATGGTATGGATTTTTCTCATTGCCAAATGCCATACAGTGCCCTCTAGTTGTTTAAATTCTCGTCCTTTGGACATTTGGTTGACAGATGCATGTTTGGCAATCATACCACATGTCGCGGTTTAAATAAGTTTTTGTCTTAACTCAACTGTCCCCTTTTTATTCTCCTTCAATGGAAAACATTAGATATATAGAAAAACATATAATAAAAACCAATATAGAATAAAATGCTCCGCAGGGCGCAGCTTGATACGACCGCAGAGGTCGAACCATGAACAGTTGGGGCAAGTATGGACACAACATTCAAGCTTGATACAGCTTTGCATTTGGATTGTGATTAAATATTTGACACAGCATAGGTTTCTGACACAGAATGAATGTGGTCTAAGAACTTAAAATTTAAAATTGGACATTCACCTATTATGGTCCAATATCCAAAATCTAAATACATGGTTAGATTCAGCATATCAAAGAACCCCAAGAATTCAATTTTTGATGAAATCAAACAAAGTTTAATTTTGGACCCTTTTGACCTCAATGTGGACAAAGTTGATAACGGGGCCCAAAAATCAAAAATCTAAATACATGGTTAGATTCAGCATATCAAAGAACCCCATATATTCAATTTTTGTTGAAATCAAACAAAGTTTAATTTTGGACCCCGATTTGGACCAACTTGAAAACTGGGCCAATAATCAAAAATCTAAATACATGTTTAGATTCAACATATCAAAGAACCCTAAGAATTCAATTTTTGTTAAAATCAAACAAAGTTTAATTTTGGACCCTTTGGACCTCAATGTGGACCAATTTAAAAACGGGGCCCAAAATCCAAAAACTAAATACACGGTTAGATTCAGCATATTAAAGAACCCCAAGAATTCAAGAATAAAACCCCATTGAAATTGGTCAAGAAATAAGCAATTTATACGAAGTATCTTCTTTTGCACAATACTGTGCAATTAAATATTTCTTGCTATTGCGCAATACTGTACAATTGACAATTTCTTGCTATTGCGCAATACTGTGCTATTGGATATTTCTTGCTATTGCGCAATACTGTGCAATTGAAGATTTCTTGCTATTGCGCAATATTGTGCAATTGAAGATTTCTTGCTATTGTGCAATACTGTGCAATTGAAAATTTCTTGCTATTGCACAATACTTATTATATAATAATTTACACATCCTGTTTGGTGTGTATCTCCTACCATATCATTATTATTTGCTTTTAAATATAAATCAGAAATAACCAACTTAAAATGGAAAATTTTAAAAGAAAAAAAAAGGAAAAAAAGAAAAAAAAGGACAAAAAAATAAAATCCCCCCCCCCCAATTTTGTGAACCCCCTTATGATTCATCACCCCCAAACTCAATCCCAGCCTTCCCTTTGTGGTATGGTACCTTGCAGTACAATTTCAGAGAGATCCATACACTTGAACACAAGTTATTGTCTGGAAACTAGAAAAATGTGTTTTTGGCCCCTTTTTGGCCCCAAATTCCTAAACGTTTCGGCAATTACCCCCATCATCAATCCCAGCCTTCCCTTTGTGGTATGGTACCTTGCAGTACAATTTCAGAGAGATCCATACACTTGAACACAAGTTATTGTCTGGAAACTAGAAAAATGCTTATTTTTGGCCCCTTTTTGACCCCCAATTCCTAAACGTTTCGGCAATTACCCCCAAACTCAATTCCTGCTTTCCCTTTGTGATATGGAACCTTGTAGTACAATTTCAGAAAGATTCATACACTTACACACAAGTTATTGTCATGAAACTAGAAAAATGCTTGTTTTTTGCCCCTTTTTTGGCCCTAATTCCTAAAATTTTGAGGCAATTACCCCCAAAATCAATCCCAGCATTCCTTTTGTGATATGGAACCTTGTGGTACAATGTCAGAGAGATCCATACACTAACACACAAGTTATGTCTGGAAGTTACAAAAATGCTTATTTTTGGCCCCTTTTTGACCCCTAATTCCTTTACTGTTGGTACCATAACCCCCAAAATCAATCCCAACCTTCCTTTTGTGGTATTGAACCTTGTGGTAAAATTTCATAGAGATCCATTCACTTAAACTAAAGTTAGAGTGCGAAAACCAATGTGTCTTCGGACGACGCCGGACGACGACGACAACGACGACGACGACGCCAACGTCATACCAATATACGACCACAAAAATTTTTTTGCGGTCGTATAAAAAGCACTGACACATTTAGGGATCAGCTGAAGCCCGCCTCCGGGTACAGGATTTTCTCGCTGTGTTGAAGACCCATTGGTGGCGTTGGGCTGTTTTCTGCTCTTTGGTCGGGTTGTTGTCTCTTTGACGCATTCCCCGTTTCCATTCTCAATTTTACATAAAACATGAAAACAATACTCGGTCACATTGTATCACAGTTGCTAAAATCAAGCTGCGAAAGTACTAATGCTGCTAATATTGAAATAATGAAATCCTACATTCTAATATACTGACTAGTTGTTGAAAAAAAATTTAAAACAAAAGTGTACACTCAGCTTATTTGGATAATGTTATTTAAAAAACAATAAGTTTGCTAATTTCTTTAAATCTTTGCTTTTGGCTTCATATATCAGTTGATAAAAGTAAAATTTGTACTGTTGTTTCATCCTTGTATCCTTTGGGATTGATATCGATTCACTTATTTACAATTTGAAACAAGACTAAAATGTTTCTGTTTTTCTGTCCTTTCTTTACTGGAATACTTTTTAAAATTTTACTTTGGGAATTACACATGTAGAAGATATGATTTCTATTTCAGCTAATTATATGATTTTTATTTCAGCGGATTAACAATTTATGCTGACTATGAGTAACGGTGAACATCTCTTTGAAGATCGTATTGTTTTTATTGAAGCTGTGATTTGTTGTCTGTATAGCGGTAAGCAATTTTTCCGAAGTGATGTTACCGTGTGGTTTTCTCGGTACCTTATAGAAGTTCCAATGGTCGAGATACAAAGGGGGGGTTTTACTATTGTTTCAATTCAAGAATCTTGTCAATGGTTTATATTATGTTTTAATTTAGTTTTGATGACATATCTTTGGAATGCTGTGTTTTTGTTTCACAACAGGTCTAAATCGTACCTATTAAGGAATGTGACAGTTGTTTTCCATTCGTTCCGTTGGTTGAAAAACTTCCCCTTTTTTGGATTTACCTTGGAGTTTAGTATGTTTGTTTTAATTTTTTAACATAGTGTACACACACTTTTCTATAATGAAATACCGTGTGTTCACCTGTAGTGCGTTATGGTCTTGGTTATTTTTGGTTTTTTTTTTTTGTTTTTTTGTTTGTTTTGTATTCATTTGTTTTTTTGGTTATTGTCTCATTAACGCAAACCCACATCTCTTTTTATACTTGTACTTTTGTATTACTTAAAGCCTTAATTTGAATAAAAGGCGGTGTTGGGAGACCGCATTTAAAAGTTGCAAACAATACAAACTAGTGCGAGAGGCTACCACCGTAACTTGACATTGTCCTAAGTCCTAGAGGTGTAACAAGATCTTAATATTTTCACATGTCCTTCGAAATGCTTCCATAACAGTATTCTTATAATAAGAAATTTCTGTATTGAAACTACCATCAAATGCAAGACTAAATAAACTAAGATTTAAAATTTTGGTTTACTAAGATTTACGGGTCTACAAGTTTTGAAAATTAATATTTAATATTTGTGTTTGAAATCTGTCGAATATGTAAAATTAAAATATGAAAGAGAAGTAATGTGAACGTGATATGATTATCTTTGCGGCTATGAAGTACGTATGAAGCAATGACCACGACGGATAATGACGTATATTTGCGCCTATGAAGCAATGACCACGACGGACAGTGATGGTAGCTGACATCAATGGTAATGTTCTTAATTAACTAGCATGCAATACAGTAGAACGATCACTTTCTAACGAACCAAATTTCAAGAATCATAGTTTTACAATCGCTATATAGCTATTGGACGACGTATTCTGTTCAGGAGAATGATCATGGAGCTACAAATAAATGCAAGTGCCCCCGGAGACTTGAAGCAATTTAAAGACTAATACTGTCAAGCATTTTATTAATGAAAATACACAAACACAATAGTTCTACTGTTTGTAGGAAAGACTTGCATAACAAATTTGGGTTCTAAGAAAGATAACCGAAAATGTGATATTATAACCATTCAAATCCTAGGTATACTGAAAATTACAAAATAATTGCTAATTATTTCAGTTTCGAAAGATATGTTTCTTCAACCAAACATTGAAATTACAATTTTTTCACCGTACGTCTATTGTGTCAAATTTTTCACATAATTCTAGTTTAAAAAACATATTTGAGTTAACTAAATAAAATAAAACTACTTACAGCTGTATACCATTCCCTATTTAGGCAAAACCTTCGACAACTGTAGAATAACAATTCTTTTCTGCTTTATATGAAGGGCGAATACTGAATTGAACTCTTCAACACACCCAGTGTTTCAAAATTACGATTATCAACTCCATCAAAATTCATAACTCCTACCTCAATTATTAGTTCAAAAGGATTAGAATGGTTCGTTAAATTTTACAATGGAACACTTTCAACAAACGGTATTCATCAGTGAGAACATTTACATAATATTATCACATACATGTAATATCTGAATCCATGTCAATAAATAAAATATCTAATTAAATAAATAAACATGACATTCACACCATTTCACTAAAAATAAAATTCTTCAAAACTTATATATCACAAAATGTCACATGAAACAAAGCAAACGTATTGACAAATACAAAAGATTTACAGTAAAAGTTTATTCAACTCTGTAATGTCTGAAAACTGGAAAGCAATTATGAAAGAAACTGTAGTGCAGTTCGAGTGGCAGAGAAGAAGTCTATCTCATAGTTTGATTCGAGAACAAGTTTGTGGAATTATTTGTGCAAAACCTTCAGTGTACCACTGAAACATACATTTCTAAGAGTTCCTTCATTTTCTATAAATACATTTGCTAATACTCGATTGAATTCTCGGTATGGGCTTAATGACTAAATTCTTAATACTATAATCAAAATGCAATAGATAATCATAATATACAACTAATATTGTTGCTGTGAGTGTAACTTAAAGATTAAATAAGGCATGTTCATGTTTATATCAATATTGTCGAAACACATTAAAAAAGAAAAAAAAAGTTCTACAGCACAATATGCAAGTAGAACTATTTTTACTATTACTAATGAATGAGCGCACTGAATATGACACATCAAATATAAAAAATAACCGGTTAATATATACCGTTTCTTTATCTTAAATCCGGATATATTAAACAAAACGTGTTTTTGATTCAGATGCTGGTATGTCTTTATTGCACTATTTGAAATCCGTATTTCTTCTCATCAACAATATCTTTGTTTAAAAGTCTGTGCTTGGTGTATCTTCTTGCTGTTGTTGAGGCTTAACAGCCGTACTTCTGGTTATTATTTTGAGAGTTCTTCCGGTTCCAGCGGGTGTTCTTTGTGGTGGAGTTGCCTCTCTTGACTGCTCCACAGAACCTGCAATATTAACACGAGCCTGTCACACATTGTTCAATTAGTTTTAATTTCAATACAGTAAATCATTAACTATACACTTAAACATTAAATCAGTGGTTACTTCCAGCCTTTTCTTACGTAATTTCCTATCTTATCCCGATCTTACCACAGTTTTAACGTTTGACTAAAAGCTATTACATAATGTATAGCATGGTGCATTGATAATTTCATACGATTATCTTATATTAAACAGATGGTTTAACTTTTAGCAAAAGTATGTATTTTCAAAGATTCTGTCATGTTTCCTCTGTTGATTTAGCAATTTACCAAGAACAACAAACATTTTGATAAACGCCATAGCAGAGGTGTTTTACAGCGTTTGTATACAGCTTAAATATTAACATATAATTGGAAAAAAAATATATTCAAAGTAAGTTAAACGAGTAACTATCTTGTTAGAGAAAACAAACATTTGTCAGTAAAAAAATAAAACTAAGAAGATCGACAATTTGCATTGTTAAAAAAACCAGACATGTCAACAACTTTTCAATGATTACTAGGCCATATTGATTTGTTCAAACACATATTGATTTGTTCAAACACATATTGATTTGTTCAAACAAAGACCTCTTTTTAGTTTTTCGTCTATCAATCTACGTCGGCCCGAAAGTAGCTTATCTTCATCAGGTTAGCAGATAAATCACTGTATGTATTTTTATATTTACTATGAAACCATGCGATTGGTCCATTATGATAAATTTCTACACATTGGATGTATACGTCAATTAGTCTTAGAACATTAAAGTGTTGTACAATGTATACTGTACATGTAGAACGCGAAACACTCTCTATTATATCGCATGCGAATTAGACGCAAACTTAAAACAATATACAAGTGCTAAACAAGTTGTAAATTCCTTCCACGGAGACACCAAAGATTATTAAAGACCGTGAAACAAATAAATATGACTTAAATACCATCTCCTGACAATTGTACTTAAGAAATAAAACACTATCTATTTAAACACACTCAATAGAGATCATCGTAGAAGAAACCACCTCTATCGGACGTTTGTTGCCAGTCCTAAAGTATCAAAATTTTACAAGCCCCTAACGAAGTAAAACACGTTCTTGTAAGCTTTCCTATTATTTGTTTTCAAATGATTTTATTTTGCTAATTTCAAAACAACAATTATATTAGACCATCCAACGTCCTTATTTTTTTTATTTCAAGAAACCAGATGAATACGGTCTCGAGACGGACAGTAGAAGCACAATCAGTCTTGGAAAAGTCTACACATCCTTCATCTACACGAGTTAAACCATGAATACCAACTTAACTTTCATAATAAAGATATTTCATGATGGAAGAATCATTACACACACATCTGTTCAGAAAGATATCTTCTACAACAATACAACTCAATGTTTAACACCAAATGAACAAAAACTAATACAAAAATTCATGCTCCATTAATTTAATAAACAGTTGCAAAGGTTAATTGAAAAGGCTGCTATCATAATTCTTTCAATGAGTGCAGCAGTCTAACGCGAGAAACGGCTGTGATATTATGTTTCAATTGTTTGTACTCAGATCATTCATGGCAGATACGCATTAAAAGGGGAGGATTTTGTTCTGTCCATGTCAGTAACTTTGGGAGTGGTTTTTGTTTCTATATTGATCGGGTTTTTTTTTTCTTTAAGAAATATTGGTGTAAATGGTATGTCGATAGAATTTAAACAAATTATGAACACCTTGTGTAGACTAGGGGCGACATATATCTTGATATAGCGGTTTTGGTATATGCATTTGAAGACTGGGTGATAACATATAGATGCCTCATTTTGTTTTATTTGTTTGGATACCGTCTCGTTGATGTTTGCCCTTTATCTCCATTTATTCATACTCATATGGAAAAAGATGGGATGATTATACATTTAATTTATTCCGACTCATGCTGACAATTCTGCCTTAACTCTTCAATGACATTTTAACGTCTTTGGTTTGAACTAAAATGGGTATATCGAAATTGGATCAACAACATCACTTGATTATTTTGAAAAAGGGAATGCCATTTTTTAGACTATTTTCATATTCAAGGTGTTTTAAATAACCATCGTGACAAATACATTTGTTTTTTTATTAAAAGTTCATCACAATGCTAAAAGTAGAGGAAAATGCTCTAAAACAATTTTGTACCCTTCACTAGACCTACAAATCAGACTCTTCGTTGAAATGTTGAGATCTTATGTTGTCACCAAAACTCACCGCCGCCTTTCTTCAAATAGATTTTAGTAAACCATTTGTAGTTGTAAGCAAATAGTAAACACAAAACATTAGACAGAATAATTAGACACATTAAGAGGTTTGATGAAAATGAAAGGAGTAGGTTACCATTCTGTGCTCCTGTATCACCAACAGACATCTGTAAATACTTAAATGACCGTGAAGGAATATGTCCGCCCATATAACGCTTATTCGTCAACTCCTCCCCACTAAGTGTATCTGGAAGTCCATCATCTTCATCAGAAGGCAGATCATCCTCGTCCCTTTGTTGTTTTATGGGTTCAGCAGCTAGGAATAATGGGGTGCGGGTGATTATAATTATTGCCATGGAAACATGCACAGTGTAATATGAAGATGACTAAGTGTACAAAAGTAAGGAGAACACAACACAGTTACTCAAGAAATCATTTTTTTGTGGCTTATTATATATTTAACTCGTTGTAATCATTCTTTCCCTAGCCCAATTTAAAGAATTGATGTTTTAGTTGTTCAATGCTTAATTATTTTTCGGTCTCTTGTAATTTGATATCATAATCACTGACTTAATATATCAAAAGCAAACCATTTTAACATATTTTGAAATCTATTATATTCAGTATTTTCTTATCATAAACGAAAAACACTAAATAATATCCATTACAATTATTTTATAAGGAGTAAAATTGTTAACATATACATACTATATGCATTTTCCCGTCTGTCTTCAGATTACATACATCACTGTTGACAATAACTGTGTTTTGTTTTTAAATGATAAGCAACAAAGCATTTTGGATAGAATTTAAGCTTTACATGTAAAAAGCTAAAGCTAAAACGGCAAACTACGTTTTAAATCTGAAACTGTTAAATCGAGTATAAATAAATATCGATTTTATTTTTTTTTCAAAAATATTTCCCTTAGATAAAGAGATATTCGTTACTTACAAATGTTGCAATGGAGTCCAGGAATTAATAGTAACATAGAAAAACTGTTACAACAACGAAACGGGAAAATAACAAGAAGAAACGTGTTAGTGTAACCATGGTGACTGAGTAATACTATACCTGGTTGGTCATCATCCTGACATTTAGCTAATCGCTGGAGAACTCTAAATGATGGGGAAGGTATGTGTTTTCCAGTATATCGTATCGATCCCTGCTCGTATTTACCAATAGAGCTTTCCTCTTCGTCTGAAAAAAAATACATGAATTTAAATGTGCTTAAATGCTGGGTTTGCTAAAGGCCGATTCCTTAGAAAGGATGCGGAATTCAAACTTCGCAAAATGCATTCAAAAGCGAAAGAACACTAGCCAATCATCTCAACAGCAACTGCATGTGAACGCTCATTTTAGGTTAGGAGAAATTGTAATGCGCAAATTTATTTAGATTTGGTTTAAAATATTGATTAAGAATCCTAAGTCAAGTTCTTTAAATGTAAACACAAACACACGAGTCTTGGAACATGCACGGTGAATAAATTAGATTTAAGTCTTGATTTAAAATGATATTGCTGATTAAAATATACCCCCGTTTACAAGGATAAGTCCATAAGTTTCTAATTGCAGAGACACATTTCTTCGAAATTGGTTTATAGAAGGTTCTTTAAGCATATGGGTTAAACCTACCATCATCACGATATTTATCATAAGCGTCTTGTTGATATTGCTGTTGACCATTTAGCTCAGTATCATCTTGGTTTGATATACGTGTCAACTTTCTGAACGCTTTTGAAGGGATGTCAGTCTTCTTATTCAATCCAGAAAACGTCATTTCATCGTCTATAGAATTGTGTCGTAAAAGAGGATCTCTTGGTGGATGTTTTTGACGAGGAGCACCTGTTAAGGATGAAGGATTTTGTTTAAATTTGTTGCAGTGATTACCGAGCAATGGATACGAATGCAAATTCAATGCAAATAAATGCTTAGTAATTGCTGTATTTAAGATTGGATCGAGTAAAATTTACTGAACTATATTTTAAGTCTTTAATGTCACCACACAAAAACACATGCTTAAAAACAACAAATATATATATGCCTAGGAAATTAAAATAATAATATAACCTACAAATTAATATAAATATACAAATATGAATTATTAAAAAGAAAAAGTGAAAAAAGAAGTTTTGGTATTAATACAACTACAAAAATGTACATGATTTAATATTGATATACGAATTGTCAGCTGGGATGGTTTACCGATTAAGATCAATTTTTCAACATTTGGAGTATATTTTTCTCAATATATATTCCACAAATGACGATTATGTAACAAAATCAGGCCTGTTGCACAGTATCATTTAACTTTTGGTATCGATTTTGTAAATTATTCCTAACTAAAATAAAAACCAGCAATGAGTATGTACATATACACACATACAGTGGAGATCACTTCTAACCTCTCATTAGAACTGTCAGAATAATCTGTCATAGAACTGTTCTAAACTGTCCTAGAACAGTTCTACCTAGAACAGTTCTACCCTAGAACTAAGTAGAACTTTTAGAGTCAGGATTAGTTCTAGGGTAGAACTGTCCAAATCAGTTCTAGTCGTAGAACTGTCAACAGAGCTGACCAAATCAGTTCTAACCGTAGAACTGTCAGCAGAACTGTCTAAAACTTTTCTAGCCGTAGAACTGACCAAACCTGTCAGGATTGTAGAACAGTTCTAAATGACGTCACTGCAGTTACGACATTGTCCGTAACGAGAAATGTTAAAACAGTGCTGTGATGAGAATTTTTAAAGATATATATTATATTCTTTTGACTTATTTATATTTAAGACAAAGAGTTCTTAAAACTGTTCTATGGATAGAACTGACTAAATCAATTCTAGCCGTAGAACTGACCAAATCAGTTCTAATCGTAGAACTGTTCTTGTAGAACTGTTCTAGCCGTAGAACTGTTCTAGTCGTAGAACTGATCAAAGATTTGGTCAGTTCTAGGTAGAACTGTCTAAAGCTGTTCTAGGGTAGAACTGTCAGGATCAGTTCTAGGTAGAACTGTCTAAATCAGTTCTAGGTAGAACTGACCAAATCAGTTCTAGGTTAGAACTATTCTAGCTAGAACTGTCTAAAAGGTGTCAGGATGACAGTTCTACATACTGTCCTAGAACAGTTCTCCTGACAGATTATGACAGATTTGATGAGAGGTTAGAAGTGATCTCCACTGTACATACAGTAAAATCCACAAAAACATCGCTTAAAAGAGAACAGTATTTTCCCTCATTACATTTATTTATTGTTTAACAGTGTAAAATTACAATAAATAAAGAGAGATAAATAATTGAAAATAAAAAAATATTTGTTATTAATAATATATTATATATATGGAGGATTATATTTTGCTTTGTGTACATCTAAGCAGAGAATTATAATTTCGAATGCATATACAATATTTATAAGTAAAAAACGTAAAAGAAGTTTAGTGTAGACAATCAAGAAAAGCGCATTCAAAACAAAAGCTAAACTTGTACCAACATCGTAAGCATGAAATATATACGAAATCTTTTGGAAACCGATTATCCTTCTCCCTCCCCCTCAAATATGATAGGAAACATAACGAGACGTTTCATTTTATTTAATGAAATCTATATGAACTAAACGAATAAATGTACTAATCTATAAACTTGCTCAGAAATCAAAGGTTCGAATTCACCGAAAAAGCAAAATTGCGCAGAAATCAAAAGTTCATATTCACTGGAAAAATAAATGGGACACAGATAATGCCCCCCGCTGGCATACAACGTTATAAAGGGACATAACTAGAGAACTGTAAAAGTGACGCCACCCAAATTTGAACTTGATCTGTGTTTTATGGTAATAAGCATAAGTTTCATAACATTCGGTTGAGGCAAACTAAAGTAAGAAAACGGACACGAAAAATTCAGCAATTTTTCCATTTATAAAGGGGCATAACTCACGAACGGTAAAAGAGACGCCACCCAAATTCGAACTTGATCTGTGTTTTTTTTTGTGGTAATAGGCTTTATGTTTATCCGACGTACGGACGGACTTACAGACGGACAAGGGTAAACCTTAATACCCCTCCGCTATGGCGGGGGCATAACAAAACTGCTAAGAAATCAAAAGTTCCTATTCATTGGAAAAACTGATTACATGATAACTAAATCCTGGCTTGTTACAGTCACATTTTATTAAAGCCAGGTTCGACCCACCATTTTTTTCTTAAAATGTCCTGTACCAAGTCAGGAATATGGCAGCTGTTATCAAATAGTCCGTTTCTATGTATCTTGGCGTTTGTTTTTGTCGCTGTTCAGTGTTTCTGTTGTTCCGTTGTTTTCCTCTTATAGTTTATGTGTTTCCCTCGGTTTTAGTTTGTAACCCGGATTTGTTTTCTATTAATCGATTTATGACTTTTGAACAGCGGTATACTACTGTTGCCTGTATTTATTAAATCACATTTTGTTAATATTTTTTGCAAATAGTGAAAATTTTCAACATCTTAAAGTTACATTTGTAAATGCCAATAAGAAAAGACAACAAATCTGTCAAAATTTATTGAACGTGCTTTAAATATTTAATTTACAAATAATTGCATATGCATTGTTACAATGTTATTGCAGATATAGACGTGCAGAAGCCATGCATATCAGTGTTTAGTACTTGGTCATGAAATATTGATGTTTTGAAAAAGGGACTGTTTATATTCATATATTAAATTCAAATCAGAGGAAAGAATGCAGTTATACGGCTAGCAGTGAAATATTGTATTTATAATACTGCATGGGCTAAGCAAAAGGAATAAAAGATTGAGTCCAAATGAAAGGATAATAGATTGAAATATTACACTCCGTGTTTGTCTCTGTTTTATTCTCCTCCATTTCATTGTCATACAGAGTTTGTAACAGAAGGAATGATAATCCCTGCTTCCTTTGAGGACCTTCTCGGTCTGGAGTTAAGAGGACGCTACTCTTACCTGAAGATTCGCTCTCCTTTATCATTTTATACACCGCGGAGTTTTCTATGTCTGCTGCTGGTTTATCTGGCATTCTGTGAAAAAAGTATACAGTTAAAAAATAACTTTTATGTGATATCAATACCGTTTAATGAACAATCGCTTGTACTGGCAACCACATGGGTATAAGAATTACAGACGGAAGTGAAATATATGAGCTTATCTTGAAATATACCTTTGACTACATTGCATTGTGATTCAAAATTCTGAACAAACATAAATCAACTGTGTATCTTTTTTTTTAACGTTTACATGCTATTTTCTGAAGAAAAAAACACGAAACGTTTTAAGAAATTGCTAGGGGATATAAATACAGAAGAAAGAACGAAAGAAAAAACAGAATTTCAATGAAATAACCGTTTTTAATTTTCCATTTGATTATTCTCTGAAAATATAAACGCTTGCGGTAAACAATTGTTCATAGATTTGTATATAGCGACCGAACTCTGTCTTCAATATGGACATTACAAAATGTCAACCATTTTCGATTTTAATTGTTTGGTGTATACATGTAATCTATATTAACCAAAATTTAAAAGTACAAATGAAAAGGGTACTTTTTACTTGGTGTTCCTGAATATACGAAGAAGATGACGAATAATGACAGAACCGGTCCTACAGTTCTTTTCTTTTTTCTCCAGTTAGGTCACCAGACATAAACTGCAGTTTTATGAAAATAATACATGCAATGGCTAAGTGGAAAAAATTAGGGCGAAATAAAATATTGATTTTTACCAAATAAGGTATGACACGAAAGTACACATAGAGACAACATATGTCACTCTAACCTTATCAACTTTAGGTTTATAAATTTGAAAACTTGTCATACAAAATATAGTTTATGTTGTTTCCATAATTTTGTGTTTATATACTAGTATTCTATATTGACAGCATAAAGTTGCTTCTACGACCAAGTTTTCCTAACAAATCCTGCCGCTTAACAAAAACCTACTGTTTTTGACTATATGCAATAACAGGGCTTAAGAAGGGGTATTTCCAAACTCTGATGTGTCATTGTAAATGTGGTCGAATTTTACAAGAAGTTACAAAATTGTGGAAAGAAATTTGAAATTACACGACAAAAGTAATGAAAAAACTCACAAATTTTATAATGTACAATTACTATCTATGTACAACATATACAACGACCATGCACACATTCAACTATAATTGATTTATTTCGATATTGTCCCTTTCAGTTTCGAGGAGACTGGGATAAGACAGAAATTACTTTTTTAAGTATTAAATAAAATCAAGGTTGTTGTACAATGTTTATGTATGTTATCTTTACCAGCGCTATTGTAATATAATAAAACAATTATATAGTGTTTAACCTATCAAACATCGCAACTTTCTCTTTAAGTGCTTTTTTTAAAAAGAAAATAGCCGTTTTTATTGAAAATGACACCACTGCCATCGTTTAAAGCTTCGATTACAAGACACATTTAAAGAAGTTTTTAAGTTGCTCAGGTTATCATGTATAAGTGTAAAATGAAGCTGACTTTTCATTTGCGCTTATATTTTAGTATTGCATAAGGTCATGCTTTTCTTAGACTGCTTCTGACTTTACCCTAAATCCGTTGGATATGTACTGATCGATACTTAGTTGTTATTGGCTTTGAACTAACTTTCCGTAAACTTGAGTACTCTTAGATCGATAAATTGTGTCTTTTGTCTTAATGTTTGTTGTTTTTGTGCTTTGCGTCGATCTGTAAAGTGTAGCCATTTCAAAATCTGTTTACAGTTTGTTCTTATGTTGTTATACCACCAATGTACCAGGTTAGGGAAAGGATTGACCGCTCACAAAAATCCCACAACATTCTATATATGCCTTCCCCAAGTCAGAATCCTGTGTCATTTTTGTTTTTCGTTTATTGTTTTGTCATAAAATCAGACTGTTGGTTTTTTGCTCATTGTTGAAGGCCGCATGGTGACCTAGGTTGTGCAGTGACATATAAGTGCTTCAGTCTGCTTCATTTAAACTCTGTTGGATAGTTGTCTTATTGGCAATCATATCACATCTTCTTATTTTATATTTTCATATGCAAGTAAACACTGGAAAATATACCAGTTTGCGGTTACAACCCTTCCGGTAAAGGATAAGCTAAATTCAATTATACTTGGAGAAATTAGGAATCATTTCTTCGATGAAAGTATATATATGTGTAATGAAGACAACCGAAAACGTATTCCTTGGCTTTATTCAATATTCAAAAAGAAAATGATGTGACTTATTTCAATAACTTCAAACGAAGTGCAAACATGTAAATGGGCTTTTGGGTTAAGATGAGAATAAGAAAATCGCCTTTAAAATTGGACAGTAGGATATATTGTTTGTATAAATAAAGCAAAAATTTCTTACTGTTGATACAAGAAAAGGTTCCCTTCCAGCAAAGACATTACCAATAGGCTACTTTTGTTATATGAGTATATGAAACCACAAATATTGTAATTATGTGAAGGAAATTTCTACTATTACAACACTTCAACATGCACTTCAAGTAGGATGATGTTTCATAAAGGAACACAATTTATACAATATAAGGTGTAGGAAGAATATCAGTCTACCATCGATTCAATAAATATTTTCGCCATATTTTTGTTGTTTTATGTAGTTTACGCAAGCTTTAATGGAAAACGTTTTTTATTTACGATAGTATTCATTTCAACCGACTTGTGACGTATTTTAGCATTGCCACAACTTATACATATACACGAATTATCTATCTCAAATAAGTTCATTATTGTTTCCTACCATATACATGATATAACTAAAGAATAAAAACACACATGCTGCTTAAATATATTTTTGACAACTTTTGACACTTTATATTTGACATTCAACACAAATTACGCATGAATAGGCTAAATCTAAACAGATATGTTTTGTAAAGGGTGATTAAAATGTCCCTTTTTTATAAAGAGCTGATTACTATTACAAAGATCCATGCATTTTTTGTTTCTACTCTGTGCCTATTGATCGCATCATGCTGCGTTTATTTTTTTTTTGTATGCTTGGTCTCACCGAATAGTCCTCATCGGTACAATGTAGTTAAATTGGGGAGTACTTGATTCAGAATGTCTACGTGTACGCCGGCTGTAACAAGATTTACAGTTGTAGAATGATCGTCATTTATACGATTGCTGTTTACAAGTTTGAAAACAATTAGTTAACATGATTAATAAAAATATAAACACACACGTTCTAAAATTAGTAGAACTTGAAACCACTCCAAAACTGCAGGCAACTTGTCAATGTTATAAACAGAAACAGTTTACTGCTGCAGAATGTAAGTCTGATTCAACAGTAATGAGTAAGACAAAAATGTGATTTACTAACAAATGTAAGCGTGAAAATATATGAAAATGCCATTAAATTGTTTAGAAATGGGCACAACATAAATATGCAGGTAATAAAAACATGAACTAAAACAAACTGAAGAAATGTCTTTATTTCATTATTCGAAGGATCTTATCAACACTGTAAATCTTTTATTATCTAATTGATATTCATATCACAGACTTGCCGTTGGTGGCTGCCATTTTGGTAAATTGGTAGATTGTTGTCGTGTTAAATACAAATTTCATGACTAAGTAGTTTCTGAAGAGATGATTTAATGTTTTCTGCCTAAAAGTCTTCAGACAACTATATGTTTGCCAGTGTTGGCGATGTTACAATTCAGGCATCTAATTATGGAAGAAATGTTCCAAATAAACTTGTTAAAACTGTTCAAATTGTTTTTATACAAATTTCTCCTTAAACTTTATTTTACAATAGAAGCAATCAAAATGTACAGCACATAACCAAAATCCAATTCACAAACCGTTGTGCCAAACAGTGAGAATGACTGACAAATTGGTTTCAGAATTGGAATTTTGAAATTATTTTGCACAAAGTGGCAATTTCATGTATATAATTAGAATTAAAAAAAAATAAGTACGTGCGGCTATTTCGAGTCGTGAACGGGCGTTAATATTTCATAAAAATCAATCAAAATGACCATCGTTCCTATGGAATCAGCAAAATAAAAAAAATGTACCAAATCTATTGAAACTTTATAGAAATGTGAGTTTCCATGTTATATATGAGCAGTTACTGTTTGGAAGTTTCAAAATAGCTACAATCATCTTGGAATCTGCTAGTTCGGGACAACTTTCGCTATTTAAAGTAAAAGGAAGCAAGCAAGCAAACATCTATCAATCAAATTAAAGTAAAAGGCGTTCAAGTCGACCATGTTTGGTACAATTATTAAGCTATTTTGTGTGTTGCTCAATCCTTAGTTCCTGGCTAAATTTAAGTGCACTGTTGTTTGCCTTTCATCTTTTTCTTTTTGGTCATATTATTTTTCTATTTTTTTTCTTAATTAATGGTTTTTTGCGTGTTCTTACTGTGTTCAGAGAAGATTGTAAATTGATTTGAAAAACATGTAATGCAGCAGTTCACACTGACACATGAACCAGAGCTATCGTTTTGTATATTGTTTACTAAATAAATTGTACGTAAAATTAATTATAAAGGGAACTAGAACTTCCCAAGATATTTTTAGACAATCTACTATACTTTACTTACCCAGACACCGCAGTAACTGAACCTTGACTCTGTGTTCTCAGTTGCTGTTCCGCATTATCCTTAGAGTATACATTTATCGGGTTATTATATTGCACATGTTTATATGGGCCTTGTTGTGGTGGATTCTTAACTGGTTTTGGCTTACTATAAGCCACTTCAGCTTCCTCATCTACAGTTGGACCTTTGTAGCCCTTTGGCATTACCTTCGGTGGTGGACGACTGTAATCAAACCATATACTACTATATTGTATTTCACTTTCATGATTTTTGGGGTATTTTTTTTAATTGTAGAGTAATACTTCAGAAATGAATGCTTCTTTTGGTAATTTTATTGGGGTGTAAAAGTGTTGACCGAAGCACATTTTGTATGAAGGTTAATTTTTGAATGACGCGCGATTGTTGTTAGCCAATCAAACTAACGGATTCTCGTGAAACATACATGTGATGTAATTATTATTATATAAACATACTGTGAATGCGAACTATTGGTGTACGTTGTAATTAACGATACTAGTATACCATAACTATATCATAGTCTTTATTAGACCTTAGAAATGTTCGCTGGTCATGTCGATCATCTTGTCTTCTTTGAGCTTCTCTGACGTTTTAGATTTAATATCAACCGACTATTCACAATCATAAGCAAAGAAAGCAAAGATCATGTACTTTAATGACTCTCAAATGTTTCCTTATACAAGGTGTAGTTCGCGTTTATGTCTTACACAATTATTGTTGGTTTATGGATAGTTTTAAATTAGGTTGCTGAACTGAGTTAGAATTCCAAAATACACAGAAACGAAAGATTTGTGTTTTGCAAACGCAAACTGTTATATCTCCGCCGAGGGATTATAACAATACCACTAAATCTAAGAAATTACTTAAAGACACAAAGATCGGGACGACTATTTCGTATTCATGTAAAAATTATTGAATATATCTTACTTTCGTTTCTTAAATTCTTTCAGATCAATACCACCCGTAAAATATGCAAAAGGTTTAGGCTGACCACTGCCTTGTTGCTTCATCATGGTATTTAGAACTGCATCTGGAACCCTTTGTTGATCTCCAGTTGGTTCCTCAGAAGGTGGCTATTAAAACATGAATTCTCAAATTAGATCTTATCAAAATTGATGCGAAACAAAATAAGCGTTGGTCATACTGAATAAAGTCAACAGTAAAAAATAAAGAGCTGCGCCATCCTTTTAGTTTTGAAGATTTTTCAACAATGTCATATCAGAAATTTATAAAAAAAAACATAAAGGAGCTTATTTCAATAGATATAAACAAGTCATCATAGTATCTTGAAAACTGCTCGAAGCGTTTTTGAGTTATTGTCTGAAAACTAGAAAATTCCCTTTTTTTATGAATAAACTCAGAAACGTAAAATCTAAATTTAATAAAAATCAAAAGGGAGATTAAGTCAATAGATATAAACAATTCACCAAAGTTTCATGAAAATCGGTGAAAGCGTTTTTGAGTTATTGTCCGAAGTGTTGACGAATGACGGACGGACGGACGGACAGCGGTATACCATAATACGTACCGTCTTAGACGGGCATATTAAAATGAAGCAAAATTGAATTCGTATAAAAACGAAGCAAGATTGAATTCGCGAAACTTTTAACGAGTTCCTTATTTGCGTATCCATTTTTATAGAGGTAATGATAGGTTGAACAAATCCTAGATTGCAATAACAAATAATTTTCTGAATTATTGCTGTTAAGAACTTTGTTTTCCATCTTCATTAACTTATTAAGCATCCATGAAAACTCATCTAGTCGTTTGTTCAGTATTTTGTTTGTTATACACTACTGGTTACAAATCGTACACAGGATTAAAATTCGGGAAAGATTCCTAGAAAGGTAAATATTTAGTAACAACTGAGATGTGATAAGGAAAGGTATGCTTTCTAGTTGTAATTAATAATGACTTTCAATGTACGAACTCCCTGGTGCATTGTTGTGTCTGTGGGTATAAGCATTCGTTTTCAGAGAAATTGGAAATGAATTTTTACTGTTCATATTAAATCGTTCAACACGATTGCTGGGGGAAAATGGAAATCATTGATTACATTTATACTGCACACAATATCATGTGATGCAAAACACATCATGTACATCGTTTTCTGTTTAAGAAAACAAGATTAGCATGGAACAGTTAATACAATATGAAAAACAGGTGTTTTCCCCATTAGAATTACATGAATGCTTCTTCGTCTGAAAACATTAAAACTATCTATAGTTATCTACATTCCACTGTTTCTCGTCATTCACGCAAAGTGATTGCCATGTTCTGTAATTAATTATACGTACTGGCTGCCAATTCTTATATATTTGTATGTATGCATGTCTTATGAGTTCTCTTTCAGTAAGTACTTAAGCGAAAAAACGTACACTTTGTTGTGCCTGTACTGTAATTACACATATATATCGATGGCACTACACATCCGTCATCTTACTATTCTGATGTTCTGATAATTACGACACCTCAGTGTCATTCTTGTTATATAATGTAAAATAACGAGTTATCTATAAACGTATGGGAAAGGTGTGCATGCATAATAAAAATTCTAAACATTCCTAATGTACAGAAATTAGTCCAAGACTGATGATAGAACAAAACAAAGACAATGTTACATGTGAACAATTACTTCTTAAATCTTACCTGTATTTTCCGTTTTGGAAGAGACCATGCGCCGGGTAATGGGAGAACTGGGAGAGGTGGTGGTGGTGGCGGTGGTGGTGCAAAGTCTGAAGGTGGTGGCAATGGTGGTGGAGGCGGCGGTGGTGGTGGTGCAGGTGCCGCCGATACTTGAGGCGACGAGGGTGTTTGAGAAAAGTCCTCCCTCATCGGGCTCATGGGACTGTAAACAGTATTCAGTTGATTCATCTGATTGTCAGAGACACTTTCCTGGTATGTAGGACTAGGACGAAGATCTGATGATGTGCTTAATGGCGATCCGAAACCACGTGGTGGTTCCGATATATCTGAAGCAACCCCACTATCGGTTTCTTGTTTCGGTTCATTTGATTGTTTAATAAACTCGTTATAATAATTTGGAAATTTTTCAAACGGTGATAATATATCCTCAATACTACTTATTCCAGTTGGTACACTACTCTTTTTAGGAGTCAAAATTTTGTTTTGATTTCTATAATTCTGGTTCACTTCATTATTATCTTTCGTTAAATAACCTTCCGATGGAGTACCGGCGGAACATATTTTAGCTTCGTATACAGGAGCTTTCGGAAATGAGCCTCCAGAAGTCTGTCTTTGATAATTCGGTCGCGACTCCTCCCGAACTGGAGGTGATGGTGGTGTTTGTTGTTGTTGTTGAAGTCCACTAGGGAAAGCGTTAATCCTACTTACTTGTACAACCTGTCGTCCATCATGTACCTGGGGATGCTGTTCGTAAGATGGCTGACGTTGATATCCTGTAGATGTTTGCCTCTGAAGAGATGTATCATTAGACTGATAACTTCTTTGTTGATTATCATCAGGTCGCTGATGTTCGTACCCATTGTAAGATCTAATGCCTGAGTCTTGACGTTGGTATGGCGACTGTGATTCATTGTAATTAGAATTTACATAATATCCATTATTACCTGGCTGAGAGTCATACGAGGGAACGTTCTGATTTTGATACATATTTGATGATGTTTGTCTTGAGTAAGATGGACCACTTGTATTACTTCCTCTTCTTTGTTGTGTTTCTCCGTAAGTTGGTGGTGCTATGCCATATCCAGGAGGACCAGGACTGAAGTTTGGACCTGGTGATCGGTTCTGGTAAGGATCTGGCTGGTATGGATCGTACATGACCTGTTGCTGTTGTTCACGACTGTAAGGTGATGTATTGTACCCTGGACCGTAATTTTCATTTGCATTTCTCATTTGACTGTATGGTTGCTGAAATCCAGCATTTGGGCGGTACGGTGTCGGTTTTGGCATAGTCTGTGTGCTGTATTCTTCACGTCGTGGTTGTTGAGGTTCATATTGGTCCTGATAGTTTCTATATCCGCCTGCATGTCTTGGTAATGATGCAAACTGTCTAGGACTGTCACGTTCGTCAGGGTACATTCTTTGTTGATAAGGGTATCCTTGTTGGTACATAGGATAGTTATCTGAGACTGGTGACAAACTCCTGAAAGAACTGGGACTTTCTGATTGTGTGCAGTACTGATTATACTGGGACATAGGTGTTGGACTTACTGGAGCACTAGCTGCAACTCTTGGACATCTGAAATAAATGTCCATAATGGATTGTATAGAATTGTAAAATACTGCTAGTACCTATTTCGAGATTGTTATATATATTTTTTTTTTTTTATTTTTTCGATTTATAATAAGGAGACACTTTTGAATTACTAAACTTCGGAAAACACTATTAATTGTTTCAAGTCATAATTATATGAATTAAGAAATGTATTAAAAATTAAGTACTTAGCAAAAGGGCATGCAGCGAACCATATAACCCAAAGAAACCAATAATGCCTAAAAACTAGTGAGGGGATAATGACGTATGACAGACATGAATGGGGTATAAACATAAAACACATAAAAATATCATTTAAAGACAAGTACAAGTTATTCGTAGAGTAGTACATATCTAGAAATCTAATCTTTATAGATAAAAGTGTACTGGAATATTAAGACACTGCCGACAAAGCAACTATTGAAGGTGAAGATTCAATAAAAAAGAACTAACTAAACAATTTATAATTGCTAGAACAGGTATGGTCCTACATCCTGTCGACACTTATATTTTGATATTGCATTTCTTAGACTGTTCATGACGTCATTTAACTAAATCCGTCGGGTGTATCCAGATTGATATTTTAGTGGGAATCATGGTTTGTAAGTTTGAATTGGTTTGAACTAGCTTTCAGTAATTGCTATTACGTAAGTACTATTATTTCGGTACTTTGTGCATTTTTCTTCAAGTAAGTAGGAGTTTTTTTTGTGCTTTGTGTCGATCTTATGAGTCAAGCCTTTTCCAAGTCGGCGCATTTAAAAGCTTACTATATGGTACATGTTTTGCTCATGGTCAAAGACCGCACGGTGACCTATAGTTGTTTTCGAACTCTTCATTTGGTCTCTGATGGATAGTTGTATGAAAATAAGGAGATGTGGTATGATTGCCAAATGAGACAACTATCCACCAAAGTTCAAATGTAGTGGATGTAATCAATTATAGGCAAACGTACGGTCTTTAACAATTAAAAAACCCAAACCGTATAGTCGGCTATAAAAGGCCCCGACAAGAACAATATGAAACAATACAAACTAACGGCCTAATTTATAACAAAACAATTTACGAAAAAATCAAATATGACAGACATGAAGCAACGACAACCACTGAACTACAGGCTCCTAACTTGGGCGTCCACATGAAGAATGTGGCGGGGTTAAACATGTTTGAAGGAGCCAATCCTTCCCCTAACCTGGGACAATGGTGCAACGGTAGAATGGCAACCATACCATATCTACTTACAAGTAATAGGTATATGTTTACCATTTTAGGGGTATATGTCGAAGTGTATCATGGTACTATATTACCATGGGTGGTTTTTTGTAGCTTTGATTGTGATCGAAACGTCATAAATCCTTAAAATTGTCATCATAAATAGTAAGTAAGTATACGATGTAGCCTCAAACTTGGATGGTAAATAAATATTGGTCACTTGTATTTTTCTCAAAGATTTTATTGTGCAAAATGCCTTTCAACGCTTTTTCAAAGTTAAACCTTAACTTCGACATTAGTACAAAGATGATAGCATATACTTTTTCTGTAGTTTATTAATTTTTTCTCTCTTTTAAGATTATAGGGCAAATGGAGGATATACGTGAAAATTTATTATTTGCACTCATACGATACAAAAACACCAGGAAACAACACAACGAACAAATAAACAGAAAAATACGAGAAAACAAGCGGAAAGAGAAAAACAAACACACTGTGTCTAAAAAATAGAGTATACAATCTAAGTTAGTTTGTTTTCATAGATTTTCATAGGAGCCATTAACGAATCCTGCTAAGCATCGTATTTTATCTAAACAAACAAACATGTTGATTTCCTACCAATAGGAAAGCACATCTTGACAAATCAATTGACATATTTTGTAGTTGTACAACAACTGAAACTAAATCACATTCTACAGATAGCCGGATTACATTTAAATTAGATTTTCGGGGAGACTTTTATCTTAAAAATCTTAAATACGTCAACATGATGAAGTGTAGTATTTGTTCGCATAGTACCTATGGTTAAAATACACATTCTTTAACCTTTAAACAATACAGTTCTTGACTTTTTTTGTATATATTACGGGTAAGGTGATTTAGATATCAACCATCCAGAACATGCATGATTTTGAATTTTTTAATTTCCTAATAAGACTTGTGGACCTGTTTTTGCTAGACATAGGAAAACAGGAAAGCAAATGCAATAACTAACCTTTTGATCGTTAACTGTAAAAGATCTCCAGAATATCTTATCAAATCCTGTCCTTCGTTGTGAGAAACGTTTGTTACGTTGTTGTTACCGATCTTCAAAACTATATCTCCAGGAACGAGAACATTCCCTGCCACACTTCCTGGTGTTACCTATAACAGGAAAAGCCAATTCAACAGTATGAAACAAACATTTTTTTGTCCCATTCTTATTTACCTCTCCTTTTGACAAACTATAAAATCGTAAATCTTTATCAGCCGAGTTGAATAGAGGGTAACTAATGATTTCAATATCAATTTCACAATTTTAGTAAATCAATTTGTTTTGTTTTCGAAACTTGGGTTATTATAATCTTTATCAGTTACAAGCACAATTGATTTTTACTAGATTTTGATGAAGGGTTCAGATACCCCACGATTACAGGTAAATACCTGTTTTACATCACTTAAGTTTATGAATGAAATAGTTAAACAATTACGCCATTATTACACTGAGATTTATTGTTCATTAAGGGAGAAAACCCCTGTCAATTGATACCTTTACTTGTTTCACCGTTTAATCATTTGGAGTTCACTCAGTATGATATTGGTCTATATACAAAGACAACACCTAACGCATACAGAAATACGTAACCATTATGGCCAAAAGAACAAGAATGATTTATAAAGTACAATACATCATAAAAATGCAAAGTCAGAATAGTATAAATGATTCAAAAGTAGATGCGATATATACCCGACCTCATTTTGTACCGTAGCACATATTCTTGTCACCTACGCAAGAAAAAAGTTGCGTTGAATCAATACAGTACTACAAATAATACAGTATTGTTGTCGGTTGAAGTTGACGGGTCTCGTTTGACTTATAAAGAGAGGTCACCATATGGCTATCATTCTACAAGTAAAGAAAGATCATCGTCCGAATATCATTCTTCCAGTAAAAAAATATCACCGTAAGGGTTTCACTATATCAGAAAAGAAAGGTCACCGTACGGCTCTTATTAAACTGACAAAGAAAGGTCACCGTACGAATCTCATTCTTATTATAAAGTAGGGTCACCGTACGGCTCTCATTAAACTAGTAAAAAAGGTCACCGTACGGCTCTCATTCCACTAGTATAAAATATTACCGTACGGCTCTCACTATACAAGTAAGTAAAGAAATGTCATCGTACGGCTCTCATTCTACTGGTAAAGAAAGGGTCACCGTACGAATGTCATTCTACTAATAAAGAAAGATCACAGTACGGCTCTCATTTTACTTGTAAATAAAATAATTGTACGGCTCTCATTCTATTAGTTATGAATGATCACCATACGGCTCTCATTCTACTAGTAAAGAAAGGTCACTGTATGGCTCTCATATTTTATTTAAGAAAGTTCACCGTACGACTCTCATTCAACTATCAAACAAAGGTAAATGTACGGCTCTCATTCTGCTATAAAAAAAATCACTGTAAGGCTCTCATTCTATTTGTAAAGAGAGGTCTCCGTAAAGCCCTCATTATACCAGTAAAGAAAGATCACCGTACTCCTCTCATTCAACTAGTAAAGAAAAATTACCATACGGCTATCGTTCTTCTAGTAAAGAAAGGTCACCGTACAGCTCTCGTTCTTCTAGTCGAGAAAGGTCATAATACTATTACGGCTTTTAATTAACTAGGAAAGAAAGGTCATCATACGGCTCTCATTCTATTAGTAAAAATATCACCGTAGGGCTCTCACTAAAGGTCACCATACGATTCTCATTCTACTTGTAAAGAATGACCACCGTACGAATCTCATTCTACTAGTAAAGAAGGGTCACCGTACGGCTGTCATTCTACTAGCAAAGACAGATCACTGACGGCTCTCATTTTACTTGTAAAAAAAGATCACCAAACGGCTGCCATTCTACTAGTAAAAAAAAGGTCACCTTACAGCTCTCTTTCTCTTGGTAAAGTGTCAACGTACGGCTCTCATTCTATTTGCAAAAAAAGGTCACCATACGTCTCTCATTCTAACAGTAAAAAAGTACCCGTACGGCTTTCATTCTACTAACAAAAAAAGGTCACCGTACGTCTCTCATTTTTCTAGCAAAAAAGTCCCCATACGGCTTTCAATCTACTAGTAAAACGGCTTTTATTCTACTAGTAAAGATGATCACCGAACGGCTCCCATTTTACTGGTTATTGGACTGTTACTAATGTGAAATGCCTTGAGTGTTACTGGAAATATCAACAGAAATGCTTTTTACAAATGTAACTCAATAATGTTGCTTCGATTTTCTGAATTTACGATGGGCTCGATATTTTTATTCAGTACTGTTGAGAGAAAAAAAAAACCCGTCCGCTGTCCTCAAGCTTTGTAACAGCAGGAAAAATTTTGTAACACAACTAATGGAAATTGTTATATCAATGACTATCCTGCTCTCAGCTGAAATTCTTTCTCACAGAGTGAAACAATGAATAAAATATCCCGCTATCTAGTTGACCATATACAAATAATTATTTCTGTATTATGTAATGATTATTTAAAACTTTACGATAAAATATGCACATTGGTATGTAAAATGTCCGGAATTTAAGGGGGATGTATTCACATTAATACACTTATACAATATTAATGAAACAAAAGATGATTAATCACAAAAACGTGTAAATATCTCGTTTAATAGTCATTGAACTAACTTCTCAAGATGTTTACGCCAAGTTCTAAACAACCTCACAAAATCATGTAAATCTTTTTACATTGCCGAATCGTTTTGGCACTTGTGAGTCAATCGTCTGCAATTTGCTGTTAACCTTCAGAAGGAGAAATATTTATAGTATAAATGCACGTTACCGTGGAGTTTCTACAGATATTTATTTTGGATTGTTTATCGCAAATGTGCAGATTGTACAGATGATTATAAAACTTAAAGCATTATTTATGTATCGGTAATTCTAACACGTTCATGTTCTACGTGTATTGTTATGATCATTCAGCAGCTTCAATTTTTTTCAGTATTGTCAAAATTTCAAAAATATGAGTTAATCTACCTAAGCCAGTAGGATTTTATTTGTATTCTATAAAAATGAGATGTGGCATGATTGCCATTGAGACAACTATCAACTAAAGTTAATGGAGTGGTAGTGAGCGAATATTATGGACCACCTGGTTTCTATTTTTTTTCCGAAAAGGAAACTGCTACTTCACTCCGAATGAAACCGAAGAATTTGATGAACAGGTGCACGACATGCTATACACAAGTACAGTAGTCGATGTAACTGATAGGTATAGATAAGATAAAGTGTAGGTATCCGATAAACTTAGTTATATCATCGGTCATTAACAAAGCAATCAAGTTTCTCTGAAAATAGACAGATTCATCAACAAAGTACTCCTTGTTTTATTTGATAAGAGATGTAGTTTTTTATCATTAATCTTTTTAGTTTGATTGATAGTTATATAAAGATAAAACATCATAAACAAAAATTGGTATTTGGTTCAAATGAAAGCCTAATAAAAAAAACTTAAAATAAAGGTATTTTGGTTAAATTAATATAATAAAATAATAAATTAGATTAATTATTACTTTTTTTATACTAACTTTACTTTTCATCATTTCCAGTTGTTTCAGTTCAATTAATTCTTCAAAACTTACCGAAAAGTTTGATTTATTCAAATCCTATATTTTATCCTTGCACATTGCCGATCGATTTGATAAGTATGATCTCGAATCACAAAAGCACTTGTAATATTACTAAAGAAAAGTAACATCTGTTTCGAATTAAAGGAAAATATTAATCTCTGTACTAGAAAATTAGTGTGATTTGTGTATTTTTGTTTATCGTGTTTATAGAAGGTACTAAGTTAATTAAGACCAGTCAGTGACTCGTTAACTTTATTTGCTCTGAGGTGTCTGGTGTTGATAAGAGGTACATTTTTGTATGTAATATGGTATAACACAGGAAAAAAGGGGGGATATTTACCCAAGGGGTGTAATATGACATCATAATACAGATAGTGATAATGTACATCATATATAATTGTTGTAAATTGAATAATTGAATTTGTAAAAACAACATAGTGTTCTTACCATTACGTATTGTAATATTTGTTAAAACGTATGTGATAGAATACATGTATGTTAACTATTAGTGAATTTTTTCTCCGTCTTGCTTTAAAAGAACGGAAAAAAAGTTATTGCAAAATTCAAATATAAAGTTGTATAACACAACGATCGTTTAAATTTCATTTGTTACAAATTCAACATTATATGAAAGTATTTGCCGAAAGTAAAAAAATTGTGTATTCCTACCTTCTGTACTGATAAAGGCTGAGCGAATTCACGTCCCCCTTGCAAACGAAATCCCCAGGGGACCTCGCCACTGGACCTCTGTAGCCAAATAGTTTCCATATTTAAAGCCCAGCCCTTCTACTGGGCAATATTCTGAAAGAGAAGGTGGCAAGAGGAATGTACGAAAATTTTGGAAGATGCAGCTACAAAGATAATTTAAGATAAGACGTTGCTATGGTAACAGCATACATCACAAACACCCCATCGTCTGCAAAACAGATACATCTTGTCTGTTCGAAGGATTTATCTGTTTGATATGTTATTCATTTTCTTACGGAAACAGAAATAGAATTTGTATTTCTTTCATTTTTTTTTATTTGAAATTTTCATGAAACCGATAAGACACGTCTATATTTAAGTCATGACTCATTTCTTATTTATGTAATAACTTGAAAACGTGAACTATTTTATTCACATTATTTACTTTTTTTATCAGCTTTATTGGTAACAATAAAATTAGCTAACTAAGTGATATTTACTAAAAAGAACATGAATATATATTAACAAATATTGTTTTTTCGATTTCAGTTTAGATACAGAATTCAACAGTTCGAAGAATAAAAGTTTATAAGTTTGTAAAAGATTTCAAATAGAAAAATATAAGTACATTTTGCCCATGTAATTTGTGTGTTATTTGAGCTTTCTCGGTCTTGAATAACGAGTTTTCATTTGTTCCAATATTTTTTAAAACTTGGTTAGCTATTTTTTTCCTTATTTGATTATTCATGCTATTGTTTATATCCATTCAGTAATAGTACAAAGACTGATGATTATAATTATTAATGTGCATCAACTTTAACGATTAAAAAAAAGAGTAAATAAACAAAATGTTTGGCACACCCACAGGGAATAAGATTTGTTAACGATTCAGGGACTTATTTGATGTGGGAATTACATATCAAATGGAAACATAATTTGTCACTCTGTATAATGACGGTACTAGCCTCCCAAGTCGGTTATACAATTTACAAGCAGATAACCTTCTGCAAGTATCACACAAAGTTATCATTGTTTCTTCTAATTAGTCGTCCAGTTATCTTGCTTATTCATTGTAGGAGTAATGTCTTCACTTATATCGCGTGCATAGCTCGTGGAAGTAAATGTGTACTTTTATCTTCACTTTTAACTATGACAATCAAAATGTCTTTTCTTTTCTTAATTATAAATGGACAAACTAAGTTGCGTAAATTATATTTTATTAAAGCACTCAAATAATACTTTATTTTTCTATCTTTCTGTAAATTCAAAAATAGTCTTTGAAATATATATACCACCGTTCTAAATTTTTGGAAATGCAAGCCGTATTATAAATATTTGACATGCGCAGATGGCATTCTGATAATTGAACGATATATATCAGGTAATTGTTTATCGACGGTTAAATTAAATTGATATGCTTTGCGTGCTAAAAATATGTAGTAAAATTAAAAACATTTTATACATAAGAAAACACAAAACATATAATACCATCAAGATATGGGATGTTAAGAAAATTTAGAAACTGCTGCGTTCAATGCGAAATCAATTTAAATCTATAAATTGCACATATTAAAATTTTCCTGGCATGATTTCGTGTTAACTTTAACGGAGATATTGTACTGGGAAAGAAGTAAAACACTAGAAACATCGTAAAAGTCAAAATAATGACAAAATAGGCGACCCAATCTTCTCCTGGTGAATTTTCCTTTCCGTGATGAAGACGCTGCTTTTATTTTTTAACGAAAATTAATAAATAAATATATATACGTGATGTTTTTGCAGGAACGTTTCATATATCGATAAACGCGAAAAATATGTTTATGACTGATTTGTTTTACATCAAATTTAATGGTATCGATATCGTAAACTGGTTGACACTTTCACCAAAGGAAAAGGTATGCTAAGGCCATTTTGTTTTGTCATTTGAATTAGAAAATCAAACAGTATTATAAACTACCAAACAACATCTTTCAAATGTATAAGATTCATCAGTCTATAAAGATATTAGTATTTGTTTTTTTTTAAATTTTGTCTTAAATATTTACATTAGTCACTCACTGTGCTTGAAACGTTTTGTATTTAGTGCAAATTTAACCGCAAAAACTTTTTAAAAAATATCCTTGTTTTAAAATCTTGTCATCAATTTTTAGAAACGAGCCAAGGCGTTACCCAAAGAAACAATTTGCTACAATATGCATATTGCTAAGATGTTAATGTGTGTATATGGAATATCTTATTGAGTAAGGTCTTGGTTCATATCTGTTGTGTCCGAAAACTACTTTTAGGTCAAATATGCCAAAAACGATATGTTCATGACATTTCAGCGACCTTTCTGTACTAAAGTGTCCAAATTATAGCAATCTGCAGCTGGCCATTTACCATTAAAATTAACCTTATTTTTAAAGGATTGAATAGTTTTACTATTTTTGCAATTTCAGGGACGAAATAATGATTATATAATCTCACCGCCTCCTTTTATCACAAATATTGAATTTGGTAAAAGTTTTTCGTGATAATATTATTAATGGAGGGGAAAAATGATAGTTTTATTTTAACTTGATAGACTTATTGATAACAATCATAATTAAATTATCCTGTGATATTTCTGGGATTGATATTATTACCCCCTTAAAACCGGAATAAAAGAGAGGCGAAAGATACAAAAGGGACATTCAAACTCATAAGTAGAAAATAAACTGACAACGCCATGGCAGAAAAAGCATGGACGTTGCAAACATTTCTGGTGGCGTTTGACGTTATAGACGTAAAAGGTTGAATTACGATGATGGCGATAATTTTTTGCAATATCTTTTTCATTTCAACCTACAATCACGTTTAATTAATGAGATGTTATGCTAAAGTCAGGGAGAGCATGTTTTATTTGTTATAGTTGTAATTGGACTTGAACTAGTTTTCAGTAACTGCGAGTACTCTTAGATCTGTACTTTGTATCTTTTGTCATTATGTTAGTTATTTTTTGTAGGCTTCGTGCCAGTCTGATGTGTTAAGCCATTTTCAACAGATTTTTACAGTTTGTTCTTATGTTGTGCGATTACACCAATGTTCCAGTAGTATGAGGGATGAGCGCTAAAAACATGTTTAACCCCGCCACATTCTATATGTGTCTGTCCCAAGCCAGAAGCCTGTAATTCAATGGTTGGCGTTAGTTGCTGTATGAAATATTTGTTTTTCGTATAGAGTTTGTCATAAACGAGGCTGTTGTTTTTTTCGTTTGAATGTTTAACATTTTGATATGTTGTTTTTATAGCATACTATATATATATACAGTATTATATGGGTTTTGTTCATTGTTGAAGGCCGTACATTTACCATTTGAACATAAAAGATAGTTGTCTTGTTGACAATCATACCAAATCTACTTATGTTATATATATACTAGAACACTATGCGACATCTCGGGTCCGTGACTGAATTAAAGTATACCTTTGCCTTATCTTTAGCCTTGATTTTTAGTACTCGTATTGTGATCTGATAAAGTCATGCTGATTGTAAGGTGCCCAGACTGCTTTCAAAATCTTTCTGTTTGAACTCGTCCTGTTTACTTACTACAATAAACTTACTATAAACTAAATTTAATTTTTGAACTAATTAACAAAAAATAATATTGGTATTGAGGCGGAAGAAAACAGACTTGTAAAATAGTGTACTATTATAGTGTAACATAGGCATAAAACAACTACTGGAAGAATTTCAGGATCTCCTGATATAGGAAGGATTTACAGAAGGTAACAGGTAACTACAACCGGAAACAACGTGTGACATATACTATTGGTATCGGTATCAGATTCGACCCGGAACTTGTTAATTATTGGTAATATTGATTATGTGGAAAACAAAAGAGCCTGGAATGGTGTAATTTTTAAACAACACCATTGTCCTATTTAAGTTATATGTAAAGTTGAATTCTTTGATTCGTCGTTTTTACGTCATGCCGGCTAACAAATTGGACCTCTTTATTTTAGTAGTGTAGATATATATTATGTTTTACTACTATGATAATTTCGTCTCATTGAAACATTGCAAAACATTAAGATGAATGACATTCACATTCATCTATATCTGCATCATACATAACCTATCAATTTTGACAGAATGGTATTTTTCTAATTAAGAATATAGATTGGAAAAGAAAACATATTGAATGACCATGTAGATTGGACAACGATTATATATATGTTAATGAATTTGTATTGCTGTTATTTATGTTGTGTTATACTGGAAAGTCAATCATCATCGATTGAAATTGGTTAAAAACTTGCGAAACAATAACCTGCAACAACATATTTTTTTTTTATGTTAAAGAAAATTATTAGCAAGTTGAGAACAAATTTTGCCCCCTTCCTGTCCTTTCAATAATATTCTCAATTGCCTATGCACTAATCGTATATTAGCAAAGTGTTTCAGCATTAAACACGAAGAATAGGAAGGGTCATTACGCTTTATCCCCGAGTAATATTTGAAGACATTTCGCACTCTACCGAAAAGAAAGAAAATGACTATTATATTTGTGGGCAAGAATTTAAAACAATATCCACAGTCATTCCTTCTCATACGTAACATGTGTTACTTTGTAAATTAGCTTTTTATTATGAATGAATAAAACCTCATTTAACAGTCGATACGACGAACACACTCATTCAGATTTCTTTTTTATTATCACACAGTCATATATCTATTATAAGGGATGTAACTTGTATCATTATTTTAACATTGAAAAATATATCATTAAATATGTATTCATTTGCTATCAAGTTCATGCATTTATTCTCTTTTTTTGTTTAATTACAATGCCGTTATTACTTATTTGACGGCCATATAAGAGTTTGAGTGTCGACGAGGTAAGAGTGCAAGATATTTTAACGAAATCAAGATTTTTAAAAAGCTGTTTTAAAAGTTTAAATTGAATAGCAGTTTCATGTAGTTGTGTGTACATATTTTAAAACAATATCGGATGCTACAATGTGTTTAGATTTAGATTGATGTGGTACAAAATGTACATAGTGGTCAATATTAATGTGGATGGATAACAGTCTTAAATATTTGAGTGTTGGCAATAAAAACTTGACTGTGTTATGGGGTTGCTGCCGCAGGTATCCAATATGTTTCCTGTATTCTCTTTGAAACATGTTAACATTGCTTTTGCGATTACATCATGTGCACAGTCATCATTGTGTTTAAAAAATACTTTAATAATGATTATTTTTTTTAAATTAATGTCCTCAATGTGCATGTTTATATAATTGAACAATATAAGCTATATATAGATAGGATAAAAAAAATGTTCAAGGCCTTGAAAAAAGCTAAGATGAATGCAATGTACAATGTAGTTATTTAAACTGAAGAGATTGTAATATACAACAATAATAGTTTTTAGATGCATATATAATAATGCACCGACATTCGATCAAATGGATATACGAAACATTAGATAATCATTTTCTCCTAGCTATAGCAATTCTGTTTACTAGAATCATTGCCCCCGTATTGTTGAAGAGAGTGCATGTTATGTAAGGAAATTTGTTGGTAGATACAAATTGGTGTTTTATTTCGTTCAGTAAACCAAGTCCCATCTATCTGTAAGTGAAATCCTCCCAGAATAAACCTTTTCTTGCTTAATAGGTCTTTTCTTCGGTTAAGATTGGTTTAATTGCTTACATTTATTATGAATTCACCTTCGCAGAACCCCAACCAACTATTAATATAGATGAGTGTGTGGTGTGTAAATAAAAACTGTAAGTATGTTTTAATAACTCCCGGCAAAATATTGTAATTTTAAGTGTATAATTTGACTTTGCATCCCAAAAATGTGCGGTAGCTTGAATTAAAATAAGTGTGGTTATAAGCTTAAGGGATATATGTTTTGCTATGCGAAAAAGATGCTCTTGCATCATTATAGGGCAACAAACTAATTTGATGCACTCGGTTGGATGTAACCAATGCCCTTCGTTTTCAAATGTCGGTCTACCCAAATTTCAGATACTTTATAAATTGTGACGTTGATATGATTCGAGAAACACAAAAATCATTTTTTTTCACATCAAGTAAAGAGGAAAATATGATTTTTGTAAGAAAGGTACAATGGAAAGATACTATTCATATCAATAGGAATGCTTTAAACTTTTAATTTCAGCAATATATAGCCATTCAAATTACGAATCCTTCAAACAGTATAAAATTTCAGATTCCTTAAAAAAAATGAATAAATAAACATAGTTGAAATTGAAATTAATACTATACACCTCCAAAAATTTGCTTTATAAAACGGGTAAATTAAAAACAATTAAAACAATTTGTCTTAAAGCTGGACTCGTGCCATATAAAAAAAAATAAGATAATGTGTTTAATCCAACAAAAGTGACAACGAACAAACACTTTATGTTAGAGATACCTGTTAAATGACAAATCTTGTAAAAAATGAACCATATAAGGAAGATAAAATGACATCTGACACAATCATCAAACCTGCCACTTTGAAAACAAATGTGAGGATATAATATTATACATGGATACTATCCTTTTCATTTCTTCATACACATATTGAAATTCTATAAAGCCGATCAGAGGTGCCAGAGTGCAAGAAAGCATATACAAAGGTCTCTATTTACACCAGGTTACATATTTGGGATTTTTTTTTATTAGAAGATCCAAAATTATATAAATATAAAATATAAATATTAAACTACAAATATCTATTGAGAAAGTCAGACAAAGACAAATAATTATGATGTAAGAAAGATTACTAGAAGCATATTTATTTGCTTTTTTCATAATTTTTTAATACGACTGAGTTCGAAACCAATAGGACGGTCAACATTAAGTTAAATGATAGAATGTGGAATACCGGGTTTAATGAATATTCTAAACTAAACTTACAACGAAAGGGATCCTGTCAAAAGCACATGTATGATTATACCGTGTTAAAAAGGTTCTAAAATTTAAAAAAATTTGAAAAGCTCAACATTTCAAAAATACTATATACGAATGTCCCGCAAGTTTCATTGAAATCTGTAGATGAATACATTGTATAGGTATAATATATATACCATGATAAGGAGAAGTTCAAAATGTGTATATTGGCTAAAAATAGAACATAGGAGTAAAATGCAGTTTTTGGCTTATATCTCAAAAACTAAAGCATTTAGAGCAAATCTGACGGGGTTAAAATGTTCATCAGGGTAAGATCTATCTGCCTTGAAACAGACGAATCAGACAACCCGTTGTTGGGTTGCTGCCCCTGAATTGGTAATTTTAAGGAAATTTTGCAGTTTTTGGTCATTATCTAGAATATTATTATAGATAGAGATAAACTGTAAACAGCAATAATGTTCAGCAAAGTAAGATTTACATATAAGTTACATGACCAAAATTGTCAATTGACCCCCTAAGGAGCCCTTTATAGTCAACTTTTAACAATTTTTCGTAAATTTTTGTAATTTTTTACAAAAATCCTCTGAAACTACTGGGCCAAATAGAATCAAACTTGGCCACAATCATCATTAGGGTATTTAGTTTTAAAATGTGTCCGATGACCTCGCCTTCCAACAAAGATGGACGACGTGGCTAAAATAGAACATATGGGGTAAAATGCAAGTTTTGTCTATTATTCTGATAACAGTTATGAATAGAGGAAATCTGAAAAGTGTAAAATTGTTCAAAATGTTGAGCTCTACCAATTGTCCATATACGTCAAAACTGTCAGACGATTTCCTGTAGGAGTTATTGCCCTAAAATTACAAATTTTACCACTTTTTTTTCATTTTTGCCTATTATCTTGAAAACTATAATAAATAGAGAGAAACTTTAAATTGCAAAAATGATCAGAAGGACGAGTTCTACAAGTAAGTGTATGGTTGAAATTGTCAGTTGACTCCTTATTAGAGTTATTGCCCTTTGATGACGATTTGTACAATTTTTTTGCTTTTTTGTCTTATATCTTAAAACATATAATAGATAGAAAGAAACTTAAATAAACAAAAATTATCAGCAAGACAAGATCTACAATTAAGACAAATGGCGGAAATTGTTCGACGAATCCTTATTGGAGTTATTGCCCTTTAATGACGATTTTTACCATTTTTTGGCTTTTTGACTTATATGATAAAAATTATAATAGATAGACAGAAACCAAGACCTACTAACAAGTCAAAGTTTGCCGATATAATTCGTAGACTGTTAATCTTTATAGGAGTTATTGCCCTTAAACTAGGATTTTTTTTACCCTCTCTTTTGTGTTTGGAGCAAAAGCTAAATAAGATAGAGAGAACTTAACAGACTTCAATGATCAGCAGTATAAGAAAAAAAATATTAATAAAGATTTTTGTCATTTATTCTATTCTCGTCTACAATGTTGGAGAGTGTCCTTTGTTGAATATGCATATAAACCAAGGTGAGCGACACGGGCTCTTTAGAGCCTCTAGTTTTAGTTATTGCCCTTCGATCGATAAAATATGTGCAACGCGGGGGACATTGGAACTCTGGGTTTTTTTTAATAAACCAAAATAAGAACCGGAATAAAAGATTAAATATAAATCACACAACAATAATAGTGTATTTTGAAGGGTTTTTTTTGGCTGTATCATTTTCTACACAATTTGCTTTCTCCATTAATATTCATGATTAAGTCGTATACATCTATATACGGTGGATTAAAATCCCAATTTATTTTTTGTGACACTCTCCTACTAAAAGACTGTTTTCAATCCTATTTGTACCTGGACATACATGTATGGTGCCTTTTTTTAGCATGACTGTTGACGTTATACACACGAAACAAAATATGATGTAAGGATTGCTTATTTTGGTTTATTTCATACTTTTCAGAAGAAATCAACAATGAAGCTGATTTTTCTGATATTTACTCTGAACATTTCTTATTGTTTAGTTACCTGCGTACAAATCACATTAAGAACAAAACTTGGGAACATAACTGGAGTTGAAAGAAAAATTTTAGATATCAAACTTTTGGAATTCCGTAAAATTCCATATGCCAAAGCTCCAGTCGGCAATTTGCGATTTGAAAAACCAGTGCCTTATGGGTCGTGGACAACTCCATTAGACGCAACCACATATAGCCCGTCTTGTTATCAGGATCTACCGGAAAATGTAAAGAATGTTTTAGTAAACAAAATCGTAACTGAAGATTGTTTATTTCTAAACATTCAAGTTCCCTTTACAGTTACTCCTAAGACTCACAAATCTGTGATGGTATGGATTCACGGCGGCGGATACTCTACTGGACAGGCGGCTTTATATGACGCTGGAAGGTTTGCTATAACAGGAGATGTAATTGTTGTCACTATAAACTATCGTCTAAACGTGTTTGGATTTTTAAGTACTACCGATTTAGATGGCAACTATGGGATATGGGATCAGATTTTAGCTATTCGGTGGATTAAAAACAATATTGAATCTTTTGGTGGAAATAGCGATTCAATTACGATTTTTGGCGAGTCCGCAGGAGGATTCAGTGTTGGACTGTTATCGATCGCTTCAAGAAATGACGGACTATTCCAGAGAGCCATAATGCAGAGTGGAGTAGCTATTTCCCCCTATTCCATGGGCCAAAAAGCCAACTCTTCCCTAGTTTCGCAGTTTGTAAATTGTACACACAATGAAAAGAATTTAGTCAGCTGTTTGAAGAGGAAAACATCGTCTGAGCTGTTTGAAGGATTGATGAAGTCAAAATTTAGACAGCAAACACTATTAGGAATTCAACTTGCTCCAGTTGTAGACGGAAAACTGTTTCTTGACCACCCACTTAAGCTTCTAAATGATGCAGATTCTCCAGCATCTAAGTTTTATAGGTCATTAGATGTCATAATAGGAACTACAAGTGGCGAAGCATCACTTTTTGTTTTTTCGCTTCAAAAACTTCAGAAACCATTTCATTTCAATATATCAGATGGAATTCCTAAACGTATTCTAACAGACTTTCTTGCGCCAGAAATCGCTAAGGCATACTTCAATGGCAACCCTAGAGTCATCACTGCTATTATTGAGCAATATGGCCAATCAAATGATACAATGAGACAAACCTTTGACATTCTTGATCTGTATACAGATTTACTGTTTTTTGTCCCTGCTGTACGTTCTTTGCTGTTACATGATCCAAACAATGCAAAGAAAAGTCGCCAGTTTCTGTATATGTTCTATGGTCAACCATCCTTTCCCTTGTTTGGACCACTCCCACCTTGGTTCAACAGGTCTGAACATGCAGCAGACACTATGTATCAATTTGGCAACAGTTTTGTGTCTCTTCCCACTCTGGACACCGATCTATCAGAAAATTTCATGAAGTACTGGACAAATTTTGCAAAAACTGGGTAAGTTCTTCATGTTGAAGTTTATATATATTGTGCATGTACATGTACATTTCGTTTATAGAAAATAGTGTTCTAATTTCAACAACAAATAATAGTGGGGAAATATATCCATAGCAATTTTTTGTTTTGAATGATTCTTGTTTAGTTTTTAGATGTTGTCATTATTTTACACAATACAGACGTTTATATCACATTTGAATATAAAATGAACGTGGGGATTGAAAATTATCTTTGGATTTTATCAACCTGTCTGCTACTCGTTAAAGAAAAAATAGCTGTCAAATTCATGTTCACCGATTTGACCCAAATTCTCATATTTGATTTATAACATACTAAACAAATATCCAAATTATAAAAAGTCCAAAATAAACAATTTACGATACATGGACTCGATAATATGTATCAGCATTTCGTGTGTATTATAGTCCAATTGACATCTAATTAACCATTGGGGTGACCTCCGAAGACTGCCGACGGTCATATAAACCGATATAAACATAGATATAGATATAAATAGACAGCGAACACGTGCAATTAGATTTTTCTAGGTCTGTTTGATTTCATATAATAGGTTAAAAATATATGTTAATCATCGTTTTTATCTGTATAAGAATGAGTTTTTGTGGATCGAATCAGTTAACCAATGGTTTACCCGTGTTTCACTTTCAATGTTGACATAATTTTCCTATTAATAACTGATCCCGACTAATTTAACCTATCTTTAGCTAAGGGGTTAAATTGAAGATCACATGAATACGGATTCAGTGAGGTCGAATTATTCACTTTCAAGTGAATAATTTATCTGCGATGTTTCCTAGCTTATTTTTTTTTTGACAGAATTGAACCAAACTGCCTGCTACAAAGCAAATTATTATTTCAGTATTTCACTTTCATTACTGATTGAACAAAAAAAAAACATTTTTGTTTTAAATCTCTTTGCTAATGCCCCTTTAAAACAACATACCAATGATTATATCGGTCATCATTTCACTTAAATTTGAAAATTAAAAATAAAATCCGCAGCTTTAGTTATTTAAAAAAAAGAGACAAAAGATACCAGAGGGAATTAAAACGTACAGACTGACAAAATCATGACAAAATAACAAAGACATTTATAATCGTTTTTCTATTTATTTTTTCATAAATAATAAATATATATTAAATTGTATATATATAAATAATCATTACAAGAAGGTAAAAGTAACGTTGGATTTTGTGCCCTAAATTAGTTGAAGTTTTGATTATTTTTCTTATTTCAGAGATGTTAATGACGCAGACCTGCCAATGTGGAAAGATTATGATGCCATTAAAGCACATTACATCAATTTGGATGTCAATATTACTACGGGTCAATTTTTGTTCCAGGATCGTGTTAAATTTTGGTTAAATGATATCCACCAAATTCATAACCCAACATCGAGTGGAACATGCCTAAGGCAAATTACCATTGAATGGCTTATATTTGCTTCATTCATGTTTAGTTCTGTATTTTTTTACCCTTAAAAATAAGAAGTTATGATGGTTTGGCATTTAGTATAAACTGAAGCTTCATATTTTTATATAAACTTACTTACAATGATATTATAGTGGATCTGTTATAAGGACAAACCATCGGTTTTCGATCGAATTCTTCAAAATCAATGTGGTATATATATATATATATGTTGTAATCGGATGATGATGTATTCCAGAATAAAAAAAAACATCAATCATTATTGAAAATGATCAATTTTATTCCTAAAATTATAAGTTCTCAGTTTTCAGGCTTTATTCCCCGTTTAGATTATCTTCTTTTTACTACATATGTTATACCCTTCGAAATTGCCAAAATATATAGGTCACATGGTCACCAACCTCGTTTTCATGATCGTTTATGTGAAAACGGGCTTAAAAAATAAGAACACACTGAACACACCCGCGACATTACGGTTCCGTGACTGAATTAAAGTACCTATTCCTTATTTTTAGCCTGGGTTTTTAGTATTCGTATTGTCATCTGATAAAGTCATTCTGATTTTAAGGTGCACAGTTTTCTCTGCTTTTCTGTTTCTGTTTGAACCCGTCGACCCGAAACTTGTTAATTATTGTTTATAATAATTATGTGGAAAACAAAAGGGCCTGGAATGGTGTAATATTTGATCAACACCATTGTCCTATATTAGTTATATAAAAAAATGAATTCTTTGATTTGTCGTTTTTATGTCATGCCGGCTAACAAATTGGAAAGTTCCAACGTCTTATTTTTAGCCTTGATTTTTATTATTGGTATTGTCATCTGATAAAGTCATGCTGATTATTAGGTGCATAGTTTTCTCTGCTTTCAAAATCATTCTGTTTGAACCCTACCTGGTTTTCTTACTACAACCGGAAACTACATGTGACATATACTATTGGTATCGGTATCGGATTCGACCCAGAACTTGTTGATTATTGGTAATATTAATTATGCTGAAAACAAAAGGGCCTATAATAATGTAATGTTGAATCAACACCAAAGTCCTATATTAGTTATATATAAAGTTGAATTCAACTCAATTTCAAAACAAGTAAACAAATTCTCCGCTTTGGCTTATTAAAATTTTTAATGTTAAAATATTTTCTAATATTTAATGGCTGATTCATAAGAACAAAACATTATGAAATGGTATCAAACACTCAGATATCAAGTATTTTAGTTTGATAACGAATATAAGATAATTACTGTAGACCTTAATTGCCAAGGATTCAAAAAGAGATAAACAACAGTATATAAGACACTACTTAGAAAAACTCAAGACTGAGCAACACGAACCCCACCAAAAACCAGGGTGACATCATGTAGGGTAAGCAGATCCTGCTCCAGTAAGTACAAACTCGGTTATAAGTCACCTGATGATGTCACATTCGAGAAAAAGAGGACGGAAGTGTGGTTACGACAATTAGAACAGATTTGTCGTCATCTATGAAATAGATATTCAATAACGGTCAACCAACTCGTGACAGCGTTCTTAAATGTTTTGTATTACTGTCTCACTGTGAATGTGGAATAATTAGTGAAATGATATTATGGTAACAAAGTTATTATAGATAATTAAATCATATAAAAAAATGCAATTTTGAAGACAACAGGAAAGAAATATGCAGAAAAAACCTAAAACGTTGAAATAAACGTTAAAAGCTAATGATATCAGATGTTCTTGATGGTGAACCATATTCTGCTCATCACGCTATACACGTACCTGTCTTTTTGTCCAAGTTTCGCAAAGAATATTTAGTCACCTTGGGTTTTATTTTTAAGAAAATGAAATTAAAACAAAAACAAAATGAATTTAATGATATTTGCATGGTTACAAACGACACAATAACATACATAAATAATCAACAAAGCAATAAATATTTAAAAATTCACAATCAAGTTTAAACTTAAGAAACAGTTTGATAAATATTCCATTTTTTTAAACAATCCCATTGGGATAAACTTATATACCATTTTTAAAAATTATATTACATGCAAATTTTTATAAAATACATATGATGTCTGGTCATTTACATTGAAAAATATCGGGTTTCAAAAATAAGATTGAAATAAAATTTGAGGCAACAGTAGTTTACCGATGTTTAAATCTCATTAAACATTTTAAAAGAAGATAAAACAAAGAATGAGGGATGTGCATGGTTACCAAGAGTAGCGAAACTAAATCGCCACTTCAGACACGGGTCATAGTTGGAAAATGTACACACCGTAAGAGTGGGATAAAATAACATCACTGTCCAAAAAAGGAAAATTAACAATAGGGAAAGAAAAATCGTCTCGTCGTAAATTTCAGTATACAATTATCCGTGTGATACTGAAATATCCTATTCTAGAAAAAGAACATGATTGCTGTTTCAGGTATTTAAAGTTACCCGGGGTAATTTCCTCGGTATAAAGAAAGAATTCTTGGTTATCTAAAGCAAAAATATCATCAAGGCTACGGTATATGTTATTAAATCTATTAACTACATGACATAAGACGGATCTTTACTGAATTTGGCCATACACCGTGATTCATGACTATACAAGAACAAGTCTGATAGAACAGGTCTTGAATGGGTGCCTATAGGAATACCTACAACCTGTCGATGCTTTTTGACGAAACTTATATATTATTATGCTTCATGTCAAAATGCCAGATTTTGATTGGTTAATTCGAGTGAGACAATTAACTCTATTCTATGGTAAATATTCTATAACCCTTCACGGAGACGCTTGATTAAGTGTGTGCTTCATAAGATACGACGCTATCATATGGCAAATACTCTATTACCATTCACGGAGACGCTTGATCAAGTGTGCGCTTTATTAAATACGGATGGTTGTTATGTACAAGACGTCATAGTTTATTACTTGAATTTGAAATTTTATCGACAGTAATAACAGAACATTCAGTATAATAAATTAAATAACACATATCTGATAGGATGATAGAGCAGATTGTTACCCCTCGAAAAGACATTGTCAACCTTGGCTTCGCCTCAGTTGACAATGTTTTCTCGGGGTAACAATCTGCTCTATCACCCTCTCAGCTATGTGTTATTTATATATTAACAAACAATATAACTAACAACCGAATTGAAAAGACCATCAAAAGCACGTAATTCATCTATAATATCAAGAGTTATTTACACTCCAAACATTCTTCCACTATTTGCAAATGCTTTATTACAAAAGTTATTACTAGTAGCAAGTTTTATTCTAAATTTTGATTAGAGAACTAACTAGAAGCACAGAAATATTAGTTGTAATATATTTACTAAAAGCCGATTTAAAACGATATTTGATCGAGTTTTGTGTAGTTTAGGTCACCAATGCATAGTAGGGACCTTCAAATGTTCAGAGGTGGCCTTAACTGAGATGTGGTTATGATACGATTGTTACGTATTTTACTCTCTGTGGAATGCATGGCATTGAATTATAAGAACTAATAATTTAATTCATAAGACTCAGTTTTTGTTTGTTACCTTGAATTGTATCATCGTAATTGACGAGATTTGACGTTAGTAAACTACTGTCGTCGTATTTATAAGAACTTCTGTATAGTATCTACATCATGCCACTACCACATTGATGGCTGCATTGTTAGCCTGTACGAACACAATACGTTTTAAATAAGTTTATAACCTCTCGGTTTTGAACGATGTACCACCAAATCATAGTACGTCACATCCGGCTGCATACGAAAATAGGTCGAAAAAAAATATTCCCTTGAAATTGACAGTTGTAGGTAATTAATCCTACATTTCATTGCAGTAAAACATTTCTGGGTCATAAACATATATCTTGGGTATTTCAAAGCACCATTATTTTTTTATTTGGGGTTTCTATAGAATATTTTTGAAACTTGAGGTTACATAGTTACTAAAGCTTGTACACAGGTAAAAAAAAAGAGGTGAAAATTTGATTGGTTAACTTCCAGTGATGGTTATTTTCTTATATGCAACGAAATGTTATGTGAAATTTTTTCTATAGTACTGGACAGGATAAAACTTTACTCATGCCAAGTATTTCTTTATTTGAAACAAAGATTAATTCTGCACAATTTTTTGAAAAGTGCAAATTTAACAAAGACTAATAGGGGAAAATCAATGGTGGTATTACACCTTAATTAAATATCTAAACTTCGATGTTTCACAGTTATTAAAAATGCTAGTAAAGTTTGATAAACTCAATACCTCTTTTAATGAGAGTTTTTTTTTTATTTTTTTTTTTTTGGGGGGGGGGGGGGCCTTTTTAATGTTCGGCTTTGTCAATACGATGGAACATCCTACCAGTATGTTGACAAAATGCTTTTATAATACGCGTACACTTATCACCAAATTTTAGATTGGAAGGATGTTTAATTCGTTGATTGCGTTTGATGCGTTTGCCATGCAACCTTGTTCTTATTCAACAACAAGCTTGATACAATACAGGAATTTTGTACCAAGTCAGGAATATGACAGTTGTTTTCCATTCGTTTGATGTGTTTGAGCTTTTGATTTTGCCATTTGTTAAGGAACTTTCCGTTTTGAATTTTCCTTGGAGTTCCGTATTTTTGTTATTTTACTTTTTGAGATATTGTCCAATGATGTTCTACTCGTTCTTCTCCATTTACACTGTTACAAGTTTTGCAATTAATCGATCGGTAAGGGGGGAATTCTCTTTGAGGCTTTTCCTTTCAAATATCAACATCCTAAAATTAAAAAAAATATCATGTTTCTCCTTATAATGATAATTATAGTATTATCATTTGTGATTCTTATTGTAATTACGTCATTATTATTTGAAATACACGTTGAGGAAGTATGATGAAGCCACTTTTTAGTCCTTTGAATTCGAAAATCCAAAATTTTTCTAAACCTATCAAAAAACACCAAATGTTCATGAGAAATTAGTCTGTATTCATATTTTCGAATTTTGTTTTACATATTTCCATTAAAAAGGCATTAGCTACGAGATAAACAATTTTTGAAATATTATTTTTTTTTGTTCAATCATTGATGAAAGTGATATAGTGAAATAATAATTCTCTTTTAGCAACCAGTTTGGTTCAATTTTGTCAAAATAAGCTAAGAACCATCGCTGAAGAATTATTTACTCGTATGAACTAGTCGTGTTCAGCTATTAAAAGGAAAAGAATGTCAACATTGGAAGTGAAACAAGGGTTAACCATTTGGTTGACTGATTCGATCCACAAAAACTCATTTTTATACAGGTAAAAACGATGATTAACATTTTTTAGCCAAAAATATGAAATCAAACAGACCTAGAAAAATCCAATTGCACGATCTACGCTATCTATTTATATCTATATTTATGATTATATCGTGTTATATGACCGTCGGCAGTCTTTGGAGGTCACCTCGAATGTTAATTAGATGGCGTCTTGAATAAAAAATCCGGGAAATGCTGATACATTTTATTGTGTTCATGCATTGTAAATTGTTTATTTTAGACTTTTTATAATTTGGATATACGTTAAAGTATGTTATAAGTCGAATATGAGAATTTGAATTAAATCAGTGAACATGAATTTGACAGCTAATGCCCCGTTAAGGCCTCAATCATCTTGCAAAAGTTTTACCCAAAAGGATGTTTTCACTCACAGAACTACGTGTAAAAAATGCCATTTTAAGTCAAATACAATGTAAGTTAATTCATCAAAATAACACCACAAGTGCCCAGATTGTATCAACCTGTTCAATTATCAATAAAATTAACATAATTGTAACGGTTTGAACTGGGTTTTTTCAATTTCAGGGGATACAAACCATGGCTTTTATCATGTTTCCTCCTTTCGTCATATTTGGAGCAGGATCTGCTTACCTTAGCGGAGCACCTGAAATCCCCCCCAGTTTTTGTTTGGGTTTGTGTTGCTGATCTTAGTTTTGTATGTTGTGTTTTGTATATTGTTGTTTTTCTTTAGGTCGTTTTTCGGAGATTTTTTTCGTGGCGTTGTCAATTTGTTTCGACTTTTGGCTATGATGCTCATTTGTCTTTATCGCTTATATGAATTTACTTTGAAGAGATTCGTGTACCTAAATATGAGAATAAGAATCAAAATACACCCACAGTCGATTTAGAGTGAATGTACTTTGTTTTCACTTAACGATAATGTCTTGTTTAATTTGATTTATAAATATGATGGTTCTAGTTATTGTTACATGTTTCATTCTTACAATTAAATATCTTAAATCTGCAAATACAGCCAAATATCAATGTTAATAATATAAATAAGAAGTGTAGCACACGTCAATGATACAGTCAACTTACAACACACACATAAAAAGACTTTAAAAGGCTAACATCAGTAGACAAGTGCCTATACCAAATATCAGATTATAATAGCCCCAAGTCTTTTAACGCGAGGAAATTTGACAGCTGTGAACAGTACAAAAATCGTCAAGGACAAAACATTCAGATGCTTAAAGACCAACAAAATAAAATTGAGAATGGAAATGGGGAATGTGTCAAAGAGACAACAACCCGACCAAAGAGCATAAAACAGCCCAAGGCCACCAATGGGTCTATAATACACTACACAGAAAGCTAAGGATTGAGCAACATGAACTCGAACAAAAAACCAAGGGAGAAAAAAATCGGGCAAAAAAAAAAGAGACAGAAGATATCATGAGAACAATAAAAAAACATATAGCGCCGATGAAAAGCAGAAAATAAAATTACAAAAAATAACGAAAAGACAAACAACAGTATACCAAACACTATGCATAAAATTAAAGACAGTATGAGCAACCCGAACGCACCAAAAACCAGGGATGACTGAAGATGTTCTTCACTTGCAGTCAGCCAAGCCAGCTTTTCAAACAACTTAAATCTTAACATATAAACCATGTAGTTTAACACTCTAATATCGACCGCTATATTTTCTGAGAAGACATGAGGCAAAGTGCAAGTGGTTTTTCATAATCAAATGATACAAAAAAAAAAGAATCAATATGAAGGAACACTCTCTAAGGTGCCTATAAGGTTGAATCATACATCCATAATGAAACATAAATTTGTTATAAAATTTGGTAAATGTTTTGACATTTGAAAATATTTCTTTATTGAAATCTGAGACATCATTCCAAACACACTCATACCGATCTCACTGAGAAATGTACATGCCGTAAGAAGAAATTTGTATCAAGTCAGGAAAATCGTAAGTGTGTTACCATTTTATGGGGGTATCCTGTTAAGGGTTGGAGTTGATATCACATCATTGGTTGTCTCTATTTTTTTAATAACTTGTCTACATTTTGGATTCTTTACAGCTTCTGATATAGACACGTGTTTACTTTTTTTTTTAAGATTTATTGTGTTTTAAGTAAGGGGACTGTTTATTCAACATTTAAACATTTATTTATCCATATGCATTTCTTTATTATTAACACACATACTTAGCTAAATTTCTGTGTCTCTTTTCTTCCGATTTTAATGCAGCATGAATTAAGAACAAATTAATGACATCTCTCTGCAAAAGTAATAAGGAAAAAGGAGTTTGAGTAACATAAAATTATATAACCCTAGTTGTTTTGTTAATTGGTATAAGCCATATACATGTATTTTAATCTATCAAATTGGTGATGCTTATACCTACCCTTATACAAAAAAATACCGAACTCCAAGAAAAATTCATAACGGAAAGTCCCTTATCAAAATGGCAAAATTAAAAGCTCAAACACATCAAACGAATGGAAAACAACTGTCATATTTCTGACTTGGTACACAATATTAATCATAAAATGTTAAGTTTTAATTTGATCAATTTGAGAAACGACATTTGATCTGACTGAACCGTTTTTTCACATAATAAACAGTATATATACATGTATGAACATATATGAACATGCAAGTGCTGTTTTTGTTGGGTTTTTTTTTTTGCAATAAAAGCAAATTTTGTATTAAGATCAAGTTAGAAAGTCACTCTTTTCGAATCAAAACTCATGTTTGGCTATCCGATTTGTTCATTGAATGAGTAGAGTGAAAATGATTTCTAGTACCTACTATTTTAGTTGTCTACTCCAATAAACTGCCAATCTTCAGTATATACTGACACGTATTTGAAACACGACAAACCAGAAACCACATCACATGTATCCAGAATGGATTATTACCTGAGCATTACTACCACCTAAGTTGATGATCTGATATCGTTTAGGATAAATGATATCCACAGCTTTGTCGAACTGTCCATCTTCAAATGCAATGAGTGCCTCACATAAATCTGAACCAACAGATTTCATACTCTCACATGTGTTGCCTTTACCATCACTGAGGAAAAAATGTAATCTTAAAATATTTGGGTGAAATGAATCCGTCAAATCATAAAGGAGTAGGTCCGGTAAGGGTCGATTTTGGCCTCAAATTTCAGATTCATATGACGAAGGATTTTGGACACTTTTTGAACACTAAAGTGTCTATTTCAGTTGATTCTATTAGTTTATGTGAAAGATTTTAACTGATTTAGTCATTAAAAACGCTCCGATTCAAGCTTAAATATGAAAAATATATCTAATATGCCAAAAATGTCACTTTTCAGATGGTTTTTGTCAAAAATGAACGTGACCGCATCCGTGTTCATCCTCAACCTTTATATATGTTATGTATTATCATTAAATACAACTTACATTTCAATATTAAGAATGAACACAAATGCGGCCACTTTCATTTTAGACGTCTAAAATTTAACCAAAAATGCTAAAATTGTGATGATTTCAGTAATTTAGCCTGACTAAAGGATGCTAGTACCCGATATATGTGCATTGTATTGTCAAAAACAGCCCATATTTATGTAGCAGAAGCATTCTTCTTACCAATAAATAACTTAAAGTTTACATTTTAACAATTTTGTAAAACTGCTATATTTTGGGGCCAAAAAGGGGTCTTACTGGACCTACTCCTTTACAATTAAGGGAAAAAAGGGAAATCCAACTTAAGAAATATACACAATTTCCTCTATTTTTATTGTTAGGATTCCGCAAAATGTTATTATTTACATATTATAAATATTCTTTTGACAAGACTAAGTCCTAAGACAGATACTTGTAGCATTAAAGAATACTATTATAATTTTTCATAGAAATGAAACCGTAGAGCATAGTATATTTGAAAAAACAAATCAAAATGCGAGTGATCGAGATATTTCCCCTGATTTGTATCGGATTTAATCTTTAGTTTTCAATGTTGAAAATAATATTTTTGTTTTGACACGGCTGCTCTGGGACTATTCTATTCTGTATAATAACTTCAAAGTTCGTATCAAAATAGATTATTTTCAGATAGATAAAAATGAATAGTTTCATTTATAGGAAACACATGGAAATACTGTACATTATACCGAGGATTACAAGAATGTAGATAGAATACAATAATACAATGATTCTGAAATCGCAATTACAGTGATAGATAATACACACTTACTGTACCAAACACATCATACAATAATTTGAATTTAAAAGAAGAAGTTGAAATCTATACACATGGTTATAAAAAAAAGGGATGCGATCGATTAACGTACTTACGACGCGTTTCTTTTGAATAAACTTCATCAGTAAAGCTTTTACATTTAATAAGATCAGAAGCTCTAATCGTACTGGTTGAACCCTTGTTTTTCTGATAACTGAAATTATCGTCGGTTTTCTATACGGGTACACGTTCATATTACAGTTGCTGTATATTTGACACGCATAATTAAGATGTATATGTGCAACGTCCTTATAAAAAAGGGTTTCTAACTCCTTTTATAACCGAACTCATGGTTAGATAAAACCTTCATTCAAATCAAATACAAACTTACAAAAAGTGAAGGCGCTTTTCAGTTATAAAAAGTCCTCCATTACCGATAACGAAATAAGGTGCTGGTCAGCGTACAACGAAGTGGTGATGATAGAACGGACATTCTAAAACCTTTATACGACTATTCCTTCTGCAAATGCTTTTGTTTTGACATAATATTTCGTGTTTCAACAAGGTATTTGTCAAATGGGTATCTGATTAAGTGAAGCTTTTTGACGAAGCCCTAAGTTTGGTTGATAGTTTAGATCAGACCTTTACCTTAAAAATTTTCTAATAGAATCTGTTAGCTTTTTTGCTGAATCCATGTCGTTTGCCCCAAGACATGCCATCATATAACTGGTATCAAGAAATCCCAGTGCATGATCGTCGTAATGATGAGTACAAAGTGAATTGAAGTCTTTGAATTTCTCAATTACAGGTACACCTATTGGATAGTTATAAATAATTAAATGTGAAATACATATATGTCAGAACAAAATGGTTGAGGGGCGCCTACGGCATTAAATGATGGAAAAATGGCTGTATAATGATCAAAACGTACAGAGGACAACAATCGTGCATTCATATTAGACCTTTAAAGCTGCGTAAAGTATGAATATAAAATAAATTATTCTTTTTATATTGTTTAACTATTTGTTCGATTACTAGTAATCGATAAACGATATCGTTACAGGGAAGAGGATTGGTGTTCACAGTACGGGACATTCTACCAACTACTGAAGCTTTAAGGAAAGGGCTTTTTACAAGTTATTTTCATGTCTCGAAAGAGATATCTTATTGTTTTTAAAGTTCTGTTCGAATATTTAATCGATAATTTTAAAAGGTTTTATAAATAACTTTATCTATGTATACCTTCAAGTCTTAGTCTGTACAGGTATGATACGGAATTAGCGATCTCCATGGTTGATTTGGATTTGAATGCCCTTCTTCCAATCTACAAACACATTTTTTTCATAAATAAGTTTTCAGTAATAAATGTATTCTTATATAGGATATAGTAAAGTTTTTAAAGTCAGTTATCGTTTGCGTAATGTAGTAATCCAACTACCAAACATAGAATTTGTAACATTTTGAGGTCTCTGTTAAATCCTACATAGTGGTCATGATCAGATACAAAGTCCAAGTAGGAATCGTGTAGGCTCTGGCGATTTAGAGCTTGGTATATAGTAGAGCCTCTTATATAAAATAAGGATATGTGATATGATTGCCAAATAGCCAATTCACCACGAGATTAAAAAATCACGTGGTTGTAAGCAACAGTATGTCCTCCAACAATGAGATATATTGTTATGACGGCTCCCATTCTTAATTCCATGTTTGTTTGTTGCTGTTGCTTTGATCTATAATTTGAAGTGGATTGTCAAAAGTGTTTGATAAGCCAGGAGATGCTTATGCACACAATTGTAAATCTATTATCTTGGATGACGATCAAACCTGTTGAAAATTGTTCATGAGACATGTAATGTTGACTTCCGTACTGTTTGAAATTGAAAGTATGCCATAGATTTTCAGTTACGGCTGTGGATAATAATAATGTTGCGATTCATGTTGTTCTATTTTTGAAAGTATAATTCTTCCTATTTGGGTTTCTTTTGTGTATGATTGCTAACAGCATGGAGTATTTGGAGACTTTTTTTAAATATAACTCTCAATCACAATTTTTGAAGTTTGTCACCGGCCTCGGTGATACTTACATTTTTTATGTGTATTTGTTATTTTATCCTTATATGTTGGCTGCCGGTTGCAAGATACAATACATTGTATCAGTTTTACTTACCACAAAGCTTTTAAAGTTTTCTGGTTGCATTTTAAACAAATAATCAACGTATGATGATTTGCAAATGTTTGCTCCTCTTGATTTCTTTCTTTTTTTGTTATGTTTTGTGTAGTTACTCCACCATTGACATTTTATCACACGTCTCCTTTTATTCATATTTAGTCCTTATTTATGTTACACTTCAATCATCCCTGAATATTTTCATATCTTTTTGTTGACAATTTCTTCTTAGTATTTGTAACTGATAGCTTGTATCTTCATCTCTGAAAATGTCTCCATCACACGATTTTCAGACTTATATTGGACAATTTTTGGTGTTTAGATCGAAATATTAAACGGGAAGTTTAGATTTTGACGCCTTCAAATTAATTATACATGTACTCATTTTAACAACTTTAAAATGTTAAACAAAATATATCGTAAGTGCATTGCTGCTAATTTTCCTTTACCTCGTTATCAAAGAGTCCAAGTGCTTCATCAAATTCTCCCTGAAAATACAGACGTTAAACGCTTTACATATACGATTTTTCAAATTATTTTGTCCGATAAGATAAAAGAATTGTGGCATGTCATCGTTCTCAAATTTGTTGATTATGATTGCATTTAAATGATCCATTGTAAATCGTGAGATGTGGATATGGCTGTTCTTAATTGGTTTCTTTTGATCAAATATATCCTCAAAAGGAATAAAACTCTTTATAAATTTGGTGCATCAGAAGCTCTTTTCGGTATTTGCTTCCACCAAGAACGCTCAAAACAACAAAATGAAAATCCAGGTTGTATAAATATTTGAATACTTGAGCACCTATATAACCAAAAAGACATAAAAAGAAAAGCCAAATCCAAAAAAAGTAATCTTTGCCGGAGGGAGCTGTCACCTTAGTTTCTTACAAAAAAATCTAAATTAATCAACGAAGAATTTAAGAATCTAAGGTTTGTTATAAATCATGTAGGTGCCGAAATACTGACCACTGAGTTGATAATAGCCTCGTGGACTAGCAGTGCACTATTAGCCGTATCGACCCAGTGCTAGAAATTGCAAATACACATAGTAACACTATAGAAACATTTTATAAATTTGGCGCGTTAGACGCGATTTTTCTTGATTTTCATCAAATATTCAAATATATACACAATCCTGGCTTTCAATTTGTTTGATTTAAGCGTTTCTGGTGGGGATTGTTCTCAAAAGAAAAGTACTTCAGACGAAGCAAATTTATAAAGTGTTATTTGTATTATGTAGTATCAATAGAAAGTATCTTTACTGCGTCTAAGTGGTACTACGTCCACAACAGATGAACAGTTGTTATCTGCAACCACCGTTTGAGGCAATTTCATTTAATGACATTTTAAACGAACACTAATAAATTAATTTTAGTCTGAAACGGTCATTCTGATCTTAAAATCATCTGAAAAGTTTAAACATTAATTGTGTAAGTCATTTTCAGCCTTTCGGTCAATTGTCGGTCTTATCCACCGCAGTTAGTTCAGTACTGTTCAGACAAATCGCCTGCAGTCAATTCAGTACTGTTCAGTAGCTCTTCAGACAATTCAGTATGTTGTTTGTGTGTCCAGATAAATAATAACGATTGAACATATGCTAGACAGATCTTAAGGTAGCACTACAGTCAGAATTTTCTGACTCCAACCAACAGTCTTTAAAGATTAATTTCTCCAAAACTACTCAATGGATTTTTAAAATCTTTAATTCATTTTAAAGCTTAAATTTTACTCTTTCTTAATCTATAGATACATTTATTTTTGGTATGATTATTTTAAAAATATAGCTCATTAATTGCCAAAAAACTGGTCATCCAACTTGGATGAAAATGGCACATTCAGGTCAAATTGTAGTAAAAATTTGTTTTCATCCCTTTAATCAACCATACACAAGCTACAAAACCGTGTCTCAGATTTTTGATATATGCCTCCAGTAAGAAGATATATTGATTTAACTGCCAGTTGCCATACCTCATTTCACCTTTCATCTTTGGAGACCTATAAATTCATTAAGAAACAAATTATCCAAAAACTGGGACACGGTATTGTAGTAAATACTCCATTTAATCACATATATCTTAGCCAAACCAAAGGGGGTACCCATAAAGTTTCTATTTCCATTTTTTGCTTACAATTCTCATGAAAAATTGTTCTAAGAAATCACCTAAACACTGAATTTCCCCCTTAGAACCCCTATAAATGCAACATAAATATAAAAATTCCACTGGGAACACCCCAGGAGTGTTCTGACATCACTATTTTATCAATAGAACCACACAGTTTGTGTCTTTGATACTCTTAGACTGTAAATTTTGCATTATGTGTGCACTGTTCAACACTAACTTGGCATTTGGCGGGAGTTTGACGTCACAGATTTGACCAACATCAGTAATGTAGTACTGAAATATAGACAAAGCTCCGCCTCTGTCCAGACAGTCTAAGATAAGAGAATAACAGAATTGACCAGCTGCTTATAATCAATATTTAACATCATCATTCTCACTATAAAGAATAATTTTCATTTGTATTTTAAAAAAAAATATACTTTGAAATTTGCTAGAACATTAAAATTATGCAATAAAAGATATGTTCATAAAAAGATCAAGACCATCCCCTTCCTGAAAACAGAATGTCCCACATGATTTTTTAGTTTTATGGAATTGAAAAATTTCACATGAACTTAAAATTGGTTAAAATGCCTAAAACTCCTAACAGAAGACACGCTCATCATTTAAATGTAGAAGATTCAGAGACATATTCTTCTTGTTTGTAGTAAGAACCTTTGTCAGAGGCTTTCAAAGATACTTTCACACTCTTATCCATAGTTTTCTTTTTCATTTTGGTAGATTTTTTCATTCTAGATTTTTTCCTTTTCATATCTTTTTCCTTTTCTCTGTTTACTTTCATGGTTATATAAATTACTTTTGTTGCAATACAGTGAGATAAGACCACAATATTTATCTTGTGGTCAGGGATTAACAGCTGGACACTGGTATCAACAGATGATTGACATAGTAGCCCCTCCCAAATGCCCATATATTTAGAGTAATTACCATGTGCTTTTATTTACATAAGTTCATTATCAATTTACTCCCTGTTGTGATATGATAATGACTTTGGGATTTTTACAAAATGTGCAGAATGATAATTACTTTAAAATTATGTGATAAAAAAAATATCTCCAAATAATCTTTGTTAGACTGTTATTGGTTTAATAGTGTAATATATCTGGTTTAGTTGCTTCTAGTTAGGACATTTGCATTTTGCAGATTCAATATTGATTTTATACATTTCGAGCTATAACTTCTGGTATTATTGGTTTATTGTTTTGACAGATATAAATACAATGTATCTAAGTTTTGGTAATAACGAATTTGTTGATTAGAAGTCTAAAACCTAAAACCTTACATGAGTTATCAATGATATGGTCGAAATTATAAATTATAAATTAACCGTTTACAAAACATTGAATTTTTCGAAATACTAAGGATTTTCTACGCCACAAATAAATTAACTTAGCTGTATTTGGCAAAACCTTTCGGGTCCTTAATTCTCTTCAACATCGTTTTTGGCCTTTTTAACTTTTTTTATTCGAGTGTCACTGCTGAGTCTTTTGTAGACGAAACGCGCGTCTAGTGTACAAAATTTTAATCCTGCTATCTATGATGCGTTTACTTACCTTTTCTATATAGAAAAGACCATAGTGCCAATAATTGTGACATGAAGTCATTCCACAAACCTGAAAAAGAGAATGAATATGTACGGAATACAAATGAAACTAGTATATATTTGTACAGAATATGATCCAAAGGAACTGTTCTTGTTTAGTTTTGTTTGATTCCAAGTGTACTCAAATATAACTCTCTAAAAGAGAGGCGAAAGATAAAACAGAGACATTCAAACTCACAAGTCGAAAATAAACTGACAATGCCATGGCTAAAAAAGAAAAAGACAAACAGACAAACAATAGTACACAAAACACAACATAGAAAACTAAAGACTGAGCAACACGAACCCCACCAAACACCGGGTGTGATCTCAGGTGCTCCGGAAGGGTAAGCAGATCCTGCTCCACATGTGGCACCCGTCTTGTTGCTCGTGTTAGTACAAACTGTTAACATGACATTAGCAAGTGAGAGTTGACACCTGAGTTCATAAAAAAATTATGAAATTATAAGCTGATAACGTGTGTATAATAAATCATGTTTTGCCTAAGCTTGATTCATTTGTCATAGTTATGTATGCATTTATAACACTAGTTACCTCCTTGGTCAACAGGCAATTGATGGTAAACTTATGATGTACAAAAGGCTGATGAGTCTGTTATTTCACATTTAATTATTTTTAACCAAAATATTGACCTACCAGATAAATAAGCCTTCTCAAAATATACAGAAGAGACAGAATAAACCAAAATGACAATCAAAATACATATGTCGAAGATAAAACGACAATACGAAAGACAAACATACAAGCAACAGCCTTCAAAACACTAAACAGTAAACTTAAGATTGGGTAACAGGAACCCAACCAAAAAACCGGGAGGAACCCAACCAAAAAACCGGGAGGAACCCAACCAAAAAACCGGGATGATCCCAAATTGCTCCGGAGAATGCATGTAGATCCTGCTCCACATCTCGCATATCAGTTAAGAAAGTTAACCTCAGAAAACTATAGAACTTGACATTCCTAATGATTTTTGTATATCAACGTTTTCATTATTTCATAGATTTATTGATAACAATTTAATTCTCTGTAATCTACCATTTCGATTGAATAATAATAAAACTAAATACTCCACAACAATTAATTCGTTTAATCGACGAACCAAAGTCAAAATTAGAAGAGTGATTGTGCACTTACTTTTTTCTTTTGTCTGCTTTTATGAATCTTGATTGTTTTGCTCTTTATATTTATTTACCTTCCAATCATTCTCTGTACTGGACATAAATTTGATTCCTTCATCATATTTTCCTGTCATCTCATACACATGGGCCATAGCATGAGAGGCCCAGGCATCATGTCTGTTTATTTCTAGTGCCTTAAAGTAGAATAATCATTAACAAACGGAAAAAAGAAAAACTAAAACATCTACATTTTGCCAAATGAAAAAGAAGAGGCAACAACAGTTTACCTGCTGTGCATGTATCATCCGCATTGCAAATCTAGACTTAGTCAAAAAATATCACACAGGAAATAGAAAACAATTGGTAAATTTCAAATCAGGCGACTTTTCTCATGTCTTAAGATCTGAGACCTCGAAAACATGTCTCTCGTGTGTTCAAACAAAGACACATTATATCGGTCAACTAATTTATGATGGTGACCGTCAAATGTGCGGATCGCGATTCAGCCGTTCTTTCTCATACCTGATGGAGGAGTTTTTAGGTTATGGACACACCATTGCAACAGGACATTTTTTTTAATATTTAATATCATATGCATGTAATTCCAATTTGTTTAAAGATTTTGGGTTAAAAGTAAGATTACACGGTACTTGACTTCAGTTTTCATGTGTAAGAATGATCAACTAGGTAATACAGCATAACAGATCAGCTTATTTAGTATGAATTGCTTGCACAGGATTTTTACGTATAAAGTGCTAATATTCAAATATGTAATTACCCTTTCGGCTTGTTTCTTTGCTTCATTATACAAACACGTTTCCTCCAGTCCAAATGCATGCATTCCTAATAGGTATCTATACAAAAAGTAATATAAATAAACTCTGCAAATATTTATATGACTAAATCAATGTTCTTCTTGCTTATATACATTTGAATTTTTTTGATTTCATTGTCGAAAAAACAATATTGTACCCGAAAAAGAAAACATTTTTTTCTTGTGAATGTACAGCATTTAAGGAGTATATTTCTTATTGGTAAATTTAATATTTTAACATAGTTATGATGATTAAGCATTATATAATAATGGGATAATATTAGACAGAATAAAGTCACATGTTATCCTGAAAGATCTTGCGATTTTAATGTTCGAAAATATTTTTATGTTATCTAACGGAATGAAATATTTAAACCATGACAAGATTTTGTGGGTGTATATAGAAATAGTCCTATTCGTTCGTCCGTTTGTCTCTATGTCCATGCTGCTTGTAAGTATAAATCCTCCTAGACGGCGAGACGAACATTGATGAAAGAACACTATCTCAGAATATTAGGGAATCAAAAATCGTGGCTCTACATGTTACAGTGCTGATAATCGAATTTACTTGCTTCAATATATTTCTGGTATTGCGGGACAGTGGGGTTTTTTTTTTACATTCACTCACACTTCTAGTTTTTATTCTTGAAATAGCATGAAAATCCTTGAGTAATATATTTCATCCAAAATATACCACAAAAAAGTTTAGTGTAATGCTGTCATTTTTCCCATTGATTGCATACGATGTAAATATATAAATTGTTTAAATTTCAATAAAAACCAAGTATAAATACGGAAGAAAATTAACTAAGATATTGACAATTTTATGGTAAGGAATCTATTATTCAGTTTAATAACTACTATTAATCGAAGGACAATTCTCTTTTAAAGAAAAACAGTCGAAATTACTTTAATTCTGAATATAAGAGCGAGTACACTGATACCGAAATGCAAAAGGCCCAAAAAAAACTTTACTGTATTTTACAATTACGGCATAGAACAACAACACCGACAGCCCAGCGCCAAGTCCTTTCAGGAAAAGACTCGGTATACAAAGATAATAAATTAATTAGATTATAGTTGAATTAGAATGAGTCTGACAAATTTAGCCTGCAATTTTACTTTTAATGTCCAGGAAATATTTTGATAAGAAAAAGTATGTATTGCAAGGAAAGGTAGTAGTGTGATGCTTTTAGAGGTCTTCATTTTCCTTCAAAAATTAAACATTGTTACTTTTATTCTGTGGAAACTGCTCATATCTATACATTAGTATATTCATTTTACGTTTAAACGGACAATCGTGTGACAGGATATCGATGATTCCTTTACTTCGTTTGCAAAAATAAGAATGTCTTCGTCTTTGTACAATAAGACACAGTTTACAGAAATAAGAATATGACCATAAAAGACTTATTTAGATACACCTTTATCTGAATAAAACTGAAAAATTTACCACCTGTCATTTCAAGGGCGGATCAAGTTTTGAGGTTAAGGTGTACTATTTTAAAATTTTAATAAAAAGATGCGCGAGTATAAATTTATTCCACTCTTTTATGCCAAAAGATAATACTTTTTATATAGTTGTTGCAGGGAAAAGATGTCGTAGGTGTTGCAGGGAAAGGAGGTGCAATATTGTTAATCTAACAGATGAATATCAGTATCAGTTATGAAGTAGAACAATACGAGGTATTAGGAAAACTTTAAAGTAAGTAAATGTTATATAGTGTGCCTTAAAGGTTTTTTTAAAAATACTATGCATACATAGAAACAATGTTTTCTATCATAAATTAAACGGTTTATTCCTTGAATGTCTACATTCTATGATCTGCCGACAAATTACAGGTGAAAATTTGTTGGCATTCAAGGGTTAGCATACGGTATAGACCGGTGTCTATACAATAAATCAAGCTCTAAATCGTTCCAAGTGTAAGAAGTACTAAGTATAAATTTAAGAGAAACTAACAATGATTGTCATTAACACCAATTTCTCCAAATGACGAAAATCCATTCAGATATGACAAAGGACAACCCTTAACGAGGAAGCAGACTTGGGACAGGAATGTGAACATGTTTATGTTTTTATGATATTGAAAACGTCTATTAACCAATCAAGTTCCCGTAAAATATTTAATGTCTTTATCTTGTTTCATCTGCCACTTCTTTTGAAGAAACATAATCAGTTATATCATAATCATACGTGTCCTTCTGTGCATTCAGAATGGGGCAGACAGAAAAATTTATAACAGTCGCACGTGCCTGACCATATTTTGGTTAATTTAAACAAAATAATAGTTCTTATCTACATTTCGAACAACTAAACATATTTGACTTTCAATAATCTTCTTTTCTGTACATGAAAAAAAAGTAAAATAACAAAAATGCCGAACTCCAAGGAAAACTCAAAACAGAAAGTCCTTTATCAAATGACAAAATCAAAAGCTTTAAACACATCAAAAGAATGGCTGGTTTTATAGCTAGCTAAACCTCTCACTTGTACGACAGTCGCATAAATTCCATTATATTGACAACCATGTGTGAACAAAACAAGCAGACATATTAATATGTAAAAATGTCAAAAATTGGGGTCCAGCAATCAACATTGTGTTATAATCTTATCTCTATAAAAACAAATAACTATTTCAACAAAGAAAAACAAAATGGCATGTAGACACACTATAGACAAAGTACATAAGCAAAAAAGAAAGACAAGAATACAAAAATGAATTATTCTTAAAATGAACATAACACTTTAAAATATTTCGTGCGTCCGAAGCACTTCTCTTGATTTACCGTCATCAGGAACGATTAAACCTTTACTATTTTATTTTTTTTACAAACTAATGTAAACAATGAAAGTTAATTAACAATTGAAATAAATATGGTATGGTTTTCAAAATAACCATATATTTCCTACCCATAAAGTGGTATAGACTGGTTCCAGAATGGAAGAATACGTGCGATAGAATCTCTCATTTGATGATGATGTGATAAACAGTAATAACAATCATGAGCAAACTTTACAGCCAGCATATCTGTAGGATGCTCCATTAATATGTCTTCCCATACTTCACATGCTTTTGTCAGATCACTGAAATTAATAAACATCGTGACTATCATGCGGTACTATACTATATTTTTTTCTCTTGATTTATATAATTGATTCCCCGATTGTTTACATAAATGTATTTAATTTAGTATCGTCCACTTTGATATGACTGTTTCATTTATTACTTTATTAGCGGAGATGTTTTTTATTAAAAGTAATAACAATGCAAAAAAAAAATGACTAACTTTATTATTTATTATTTATATGAGATTTAGATAGTGATGTTTTCTACAAATTGTATATACCTTATTGCACATCCAATATGCATTTGTATTATGAGTTTGAAATGTCAGCTTCAAATTTAATATGAAAACAATGTGGTGATCTTCTTTATTCAATTTTTGCCGGATGAAAAATATTTACCCTTCTGCCCAGAGCTTAACTGCTGAAACATGCTTCTTCTCCCTTGTTGTTATATATTGTTTTGTAGCTTTATCAACCATGCACTTTATATCTTCTCTTAATTCTTCATTTGCGTTGATGTTTTTACACAGGCTTGATAATTCTAATCCGTTCTTCATTACATGACCCAAAACTACAGACAGAATCCCAAACATTTTGAATATTTAGAGATAAGAATATTTATTAGACATGTCGTATATAAACGATTGATACAAATTTACGTGCGCACTACATACAAATCTGGATCAGTATTTTCAAAGGTTTAGATAAATTAATTGATTGTAGTTGTTATTTTAACGACCAGGGTCAAACATAGCATGCGTATTCAGAACGAGAAAATATTTGTTTCGACTTTCACTGGAAAATGAGGGTCTGCTGTATAAATGCAGAAATGATTTTATCTCTCAAAAGACCACCTACGGGTCCGTCAAAGAGTTGTTTTATGGGTTATTTTACACAGAAAGCGAAGCGGTCAACATACACACGAGGCTTCGGACTTATATACCCCATTCGACAGGACGTTCCTGCGTTTATATTTATGCATTCCGAACACCTCTTCAGCATATGCATGATTTACTGCCGGATGGAAGAAGTTCAAAAATGGAAATATTGAGAAGATAAAGAAAACAAACCCTTAACAATGAAACCAAATGGTTAACCAGGCCGGCAACTCCTTCGCACCAGTGTGAAAGTGAGGCGGAAGATGCAAACTTATAAGTCGACGAAAAACTGACAAATGTCATGCCAAAAAAAAGACAAACCATCAAAAGACAAACAACAGTCTACGAAACACAACATAGAAAACGAAAGACTAAGCAACACTAATCCCACCAATACACTAGGGCCATCTCGGAAGGTGATCTATAATGGTAAGCAAATCATACTCGAAATGTGACACCCATCGTGTTACTTCTATACAAACTGTTAATAAGTTATATCAAGTGATTAGGCATCACGTATTAACGGATTGTCAATTGACTCTAACCCTAAGACATCGCCAACTAGTAAACAACCGGTCATGTAAATTTTCTAACCATCAATTAGGCTGAAGGAGAAATTTTGAAAATTATCAGGACAAAGGGTAGACATAAAAAAAATAAAAAGTACAAGGTACAACACTGAAAACTAAAACAAAAATCAACATAAACCCCTTTTAAACAAAACTAGAGTGTCGTGTTGCTCATTCGGAGATGAGCCAATTGCATATTGTACAATATGGTTATAGCAAAGATAGGTTCCGTTCCCTCTACATATCTTATTATCAAACTAATCGTTCTTTGTATAGCATAGAAAACGAATAATAAATATGTTTTACTTCTAATTATGCCATGATGATTGTTTGGTTTTTTTTCATTGTTTTTGTTGTTGTTGTTGATTGAATTTGTTTCTTTTTTCTTCGAAGTTGGTACTCTACTGAAATTGGCAATACACATCACATTCATTTAATCAATCGATCTTATATCATAATTGAACTTTGATGTTAAAGAATAGTTACCAAACTCTGGGTCTGCTTCAATCATTTTATTAATACTGTTATCGATACCGCCAACCGAGTCTTCCTCGTACCATCCGACATACTAAATAAGAATATATATTAATTCATATTTCAAATGTTGAGATAAAATATTGATATTGTACTACTTGCACCTTTACAACAACAAAAAACCAAAAGCTCTGAAGACCACATACTTTGACTTCATAAATATGTAAATTGGAATATCGCTCATCTCGAAATATTAATGATAAGATCCAAATTTATCTATCTCGGCATTTTTTGAAAATTTTAGTTAAAAGAAAGAAGTTTAAAGTTTAAAGCTCTAAGACCAAAGTAAAAGATAAAAAATACAGATAACTGACTGTCTTGTGAAACAGTGAAAATGACACTGGATACATTGCATGCGTCTGAATCGCCTTTTCTGAAGTTACGTTCAGGAACGCTCAAAGTCAAGTATTTGAAAGCCAAGGATGAATTAGAATGGAAACATGATACAGCTAAATGTCCAAAAGGGATCTTAAAATAATAGCAAAATCCATCAAAGGTCAACTTTGTCTAAAGGAGTTGGAATCTTAGTTTCTTATCAATTCATAAATTTATAAATGGACAATTTAAGAAAGTTTTGTTTTAAATCATGCCAGTACAGAAACACTAACTACTGCGCTGATGATATCCTCGTGGACTGATAGTCCAATATCCTCGTGGACTGATAGTCCAATATCCTCGTGGACTGATAGTCCAATATCCTCGTGGACTGATAGTCCAATAGCCTTATCCTCGTGGACTGATAGTCCAATAGCCTCGTGGACTGATAGTCCAATAGCCTCGTGGACTGATAGTCCAATAGCCTCGTGGACTGATAGTCCAATAGCCTCGTGGACTGATAGTCCAATAGCCTCGTGGACTGATAGTCCAATAGCCTCGTGGACTGATAGTCCAATAGCCTCGTGGACTGATAGTCCAAAAGCCTCGTGGACTGATAGTCCAATAGCATCAGTATCGATACAATATATATATAAGTGCTATAAAAAGAATGAAAATAACACTTCATAAATAATATGAGTACGAAGCGCTTTTGTGAACATCTAAATGATTTTATTTGCTAGATTTAGCCGGGATTTATACAAGTCACACTTAAAAGTTTCATAAAAATAGGGCATCGTAAGTTTTGTAGGATAAAATCCGAATGAAGTGTGGATCACATTATAGCAATTTGTTATATGAGTGACCGCTATATCTTACCTGAGTTAACACAGCATCGAACTGTTTACTGGCTTCATCGCTAGTAGTTGTCAATGGGATATCAAAGTCTGCCCAATCCTACAAAATCCATTAATATTAAATACTATAAAATTTTACAAGTTATTTCCAGAAAATTATCTTTTAAAATATATCGGAAGCCGATGAAAATCAAAGCATATAATGAATTAAATGAAAGTGCACAGATAAAACGTTTACTCAAGTAACTTGGAAATCGCTGTTCAGTGATTAAACAAAAACTAGAGGACACGAAAAGACCAGATGAAGAATCGTCAGCTCATGATCATTTACTGGAAATCTGGAGGCTCCAAGTGGCATCTATGAACAATATTTAATTACAAAAAGAACATGTATGACACATTTTAGTATTATTTCAAACCGTAATTATAGAGATAACTACAAAGGAGGCAATTAAAACAATTTCGAAGAAACACACACAACAAAATGATCAAAAGAAAAAAAAGGACAAAGCCCACTGCATGGAAAAATTTTAAAAACTGAGAGGCTCGTAACCAGTCTAAGACCAGCAAAGAACTCGAGTCCTCCAGAAATGTAAGTAATTCCTGTGCCACTTATGGCACCCCTTTGCGTTAAGGTGGACGGGGGGGGGGGGGGGGTCTTTATTAAAATCCACAGATTTTTTTAATTATTTGTCAAAATATAGTTTTTATCATGCTTTTTTCCAAAATTTAATAAAAGTATGGGTCACCGGACTTTTTTCACGCTACAGGTGGTGAAAAATTGTCATATTTTGTATAGATTATTTATGACAAATACAATTTTGTGTGATAAAAAGAAAACTACACCATAGAGTTTTAGGATAAAATGTGAGAAGATAGCTCTTATAACATGCTTTCAGATATGAAAAAGAAAAAATGGGGTTACCGGACTTGTTTTCTTGCCACATATTAAAATAGGTAAATTCACAACACTTTCTATTATAAAAATTACTTAATCTGAGTTATCTCCCATACTTTCTGAGTTATCTCCCCTTATGTGGCAAAGTTGAAAAAAAATGAATCAAATAAACATATTGTGTTTTATAGAAAATACAGCCGTAAATATGATAAAACATTTAATTTTCTATATCAACATGAAAAGTCTTACACACTACATACTACTCTCAAAATTTGCACATTTCATTAAAGATCTAGACCAATTGTTATCTGCTACTTCAAAATCCAAGATGGTGGAAGACACCCCAGCCGCCTTAGCAGCATATACACATCCGGTGAGAAGTCACAATTGGGGATTTCATAGGCAAAAAAAAAAACAAGAGGGATTGTGACCTATGTCCTCATCAAGTTGGCAATACCATTGGTTCTTCTATAGCAGGTATTTTATGACAGCCGATCAAATCATGATGTTGTCCGTAAAACCTCCAAAGAGATGACATAACCTTTTCCATCATGTTTAAATGAAAATACAAATATTTACTTATCGAAATATGCTGTTTTTGTAATTTGAAATATATGTCCCTCGTGCATGAATAAATTGCATGCATTAATAATATCTCAGTTAACATTTAAAAATGCATTCAAATTTCAATGTAAAAGGTATCATAGCTTATAAATGTAATTTTACAAGAATATAATGTCATTTTGTTTTAATGTTTATGTGACAAGAAGACAACAAAGGTGATTTCTTTTTATTTTCTATTTTCAAAAGAGAAAAATTTTGACACTTCTATCATGAAGGCTTCATTCATTTCACGAAATAAGCTTTGCCCTTGTTAATTTCTTACAAAAAAGGGAATTTTTACAAAATCTTCACCTCGAGGTTAGATAAAAGAAAATGAAATATTTACGGTGGAAATACTAAGTTACACACAGTTTAAAACCCACTTCGGCATATTGTAAACATCTGTTTATTGTTGAAGACCGCATGCTGACCTCTTGATCTTCTTGTATTCATTTATAATTGATGATTGTCCCCTTGCGCAATTGAATAATCGAGTACATCGTATCATTAAACAGAGAGTTTTTTCTACAAAAATGGGAATCGTAGATACAAATTCCTTGTTTTAAGTAATGAAAAATTGTACTTTGTGTGGATTCCAATACCAAATACACCGAAGATGATATCATTAAAATGCTGTACTTTTTTTTATCGACAGCATATTTGTTGAGTTTGGTGGATTAATATTTCAACAGACAGTCGGTATTTCAATGGAAATTAATTGTGCACCTAATACTGGCCAACTTGTTTTTGTACTCATGTGAAGCAAAATTTATACAGAACCTTCTCAATAGCATAACAAATCTTGCAAAGTTTTTTAATTTCACTTTCAGATATATTGATGGTGTCCTGTCACTCAATAACACACTTTTCAGCGAGTGCTTGCATCTTATATATCGCATTGAACTGGAGATTAAGGATACTACCGAAACTAATAAATCTGCTTCATTTTTTTATCTTTAAATTTCACCGATTACACAAACAAGAATCTATGACAAACGTGATAATTTCAACTTTCAAATTGTCGATTTCCTATTTCTCAGCAGTAAAATACTATCTGTATAATCGTATGACGATTACACATCTCAGTTGACTGTTGTACCCCTATTTTGACATTTTTACATATTATGTCTGTTTGTTTTGTTCACACATCGTTGTCAATATAATGGAATTTTATGCGACTGTCATACAAGTGAGAGGCTTAGCTAGATATAAAACCAGGTTTAATCCACCATTTTCTACGTAAGAAAATGCCTGTACCAAGTCAGGAATATGACAGTTGTTATCCATTCGTTTGATGTGTTTGAGCTTTTAATTTTGCCATTTGATTAGGGACTTTCCGTTTTGAATCTTCCTCAGAGTTCGGTATTTTTTTATTTTACTTTTTTTTAAACTTTACGCTCGCGCATGTTCAAACTATACGGACTTCATCAACAGTGGTGTGCTTCTTGCACAAAACCTGCTCTAACAGAATTATGACAAAGAACGACTGAAATGGACACTTCATAAGTTTTAGGTCACCTTCACGAATTGGTTGACCGATACGGTTGGTCCGTTTCTCAACTCTATAGCGACATATAGTCATGTATTCGTTGCTTTAGATCTTTAGTAACCAAAATAGTAGTCAGATATGTATTTTACCGATTGTATCATATTCCCGATGGTGTCATTTTGACTTAGTGTGCATTCTCATGGCGGGTGATGCAACCAGGAGTATGACTCACTAATTTGGGAGTACATGCGATTCTCTCAGTTTTTGTTTGTTACTTTGATTTTTTATCTTATTATTCGATTTATGAGATTTGAAAATCGTTAAATTACTGTTGCATTAAAGTGCTGAGCACTTTAGAAATACTTATTAAAAAGTTTTGAATGCTTAAGCATGAACATATGAATAGGTCTTAATATAAAACCGTGTTATGTCAACTGTTTAGGGGGTATTGCAACCTTAAATGACGTGTATATAAGCAATTATATGTCACTGTGAGACCTTCAACAATAAGAAAACCACATACCGTATTGTCAGCTATAAATGGCCCCGACATGAAAAAGGTGAAACAGTTAAAACGAGAAAATTAAAGACCTAACTTATTACTATACAATTTACGAAAAAACGAAAAACAGTAATGACAGACATGAACAAACGACAACCATTGAATTGCAGGCTCCTGACTTGGGACAGACAAATGAAAAATCTGGCGAGATTAAAACTCCCTTACTAGGGCAGAGTAATAAAAGCATAACATAGGAATTACATGTATCTGTAAAAATCAGGTTGAAGACTAACATAAAAAAAAAAAAAAAAAAAAATACCAAAAATACCGAACTCCAAGGAAAATTCAAATCGGGAAGTCCCTTATCAAATGGCAAAATCAAAAGCTCAATGACATCAAACGAATGGAAAACAACTGTAATATTCCTGACTTGGTACAGGCATTTCCTCATGTAGAAAATGGCAGATTGAATAAACACAAAGTACCAATTTAAGAGTACTCGCAGTAGCTGAAAGCTAGTTAAATGCCAGTTACAACAAATAAATAAATAACGATATCCCAGACTAAAGTATCAATCAGTACACATCCAAATCCAAATTAAATTTTGTTTAAATTCTCAGAAAGACCTTACGCGACTAGATATTAAAGAGTCTAACTAATAAACGTAAAAGACTACTTTATAAATGTCCTTATAATAGAAATGTTACTTATACTTTCAAATTGCTGTTTGAAAAATTTCCATGGAGTAATTCAAATTTTATATGATTATAAAAATAAGAGACCAAATGACGCAGAAATTAGCAACTATAGGTCATCATATGGCCTATAACAATGAGCAAAATCTATACCGCATAGCAAGCTAAGGCCCTAAAATGGCCAATGTAAAACAATTCAAACGAGAAAACTAACGGACTGTTTTATTTACAAAACAATAAGCGAGAAACAAATATGATATACAGCAACAAACGACACCCACTGAATTACAGGCTCTTGACTTGGGACAGGCACTTTGTTCTTTTTCAAAATTTTGACTGTCCATGTATTTTACATAAAATTACCAGAGTCTCAGCGTTCTATTATTTTTAATTTATTTTTTAAGTTACGAAAAAGACTCTGAAACATCATTCCTGGTGATGCAACTTACCAAACTTTTAAGTTTACTATTCATAAGAATGTACCTTTAAAATCGTGGAAAACTTTATGAAGCGTTGTTTTTATTTTCTAATACAATATTTGTTACCTTACAACCTCTCCAGTTCGAGTGCATCATTCCAGTTATCCTGGTTTAATGAAAAAAGGATTATACAGGATCTGTTGTCTTATAAGACAGTAAAATAAATACTATTAAATGTATATAAATGCGCTTATCGTTTTTAGTAAACACCGCCTCCTAATATATTTCGACGAATAGTTTTCTACGTCTTTATTTATTACGAATCAAAAATTCACGTGTTTACAGAAAGGTAAGAAGTGAAATTTTAGTTTCCTGTTATATGATTGTTTGGTTTTATTTTTGTTGGTGAAATGAAACTACATATTTATTTAATAATACGTTTTATCCATATTAAATGTTGTTAACATTTTCTTATTTTACCTGATTCAATAGTTGATATTTTTATTTTATTTATTACGTTATCGCTGAAAACTAGTCCTATGAAAATTATAATGTTATATATGTGACATGTATATAAAGGCATACTATGATTCTCGTTATTTCTTTTGATCGCCTTATACCTCTGATAACTAAAAACAGATCCTAATGATTTTTGTTATTTCGAAAATTTGGTGTTGATGGCTGATCTTAATATAACTATTCACAACTTTTTAGACTCGACGATTTTAGAGTTTTATATTACATAGACATCTATCTATCGTTGAACACCTTATACTGACCTCTAGGTATATTTTGGTCATTTTTGTCGCTGGGTTGCTTTTTAATCACTTCTCCTTTTATTCATATTGCTATGTAATTTGATACTGACAAGATTTAAGTTATTCTGCCCGACTAAATGAAATGCCTAAACCAATTTTCAAAAGTATATTTCCATTTCTACAGAAAGAAATCTTCCGGAAAAATTATCCTTAAAAACGTTAGAAAAATAATGATGCAAACTATTGACGGGTCCAAGAACTAGAAACAATTTTGGTAAAAATGCAGAAATATAAAATAAAAAATATTCTGTTCAGAAAATAGATAGCAAATGCGCCAAATTTCAACCATTATTTTCTATCCAAAATTTAATGGACCACAACCCCAAACAAGTAAATTGGATACACGACTCACATAACAGTAAGCTACTTCAATTGAATACTAGAATGAAAAATGCTTCCAAAAAAAATCAAAACTCAGTGTTTCAAAGTATTTTGTTTAACCTCAGATACACAAAGGGAATAGATCAGAGAGACGCACATTTTAAGAATAAACACCTTTCATAGATATAAAAAATATGATTTTGAAGTTTGATTGTACCTGTAGAATTCTCATCAAAAATAGGATATCACATCCTAATTTGACGGTAATGTTGTTTATAAAGCCCGTAAACTTAGACACAATCCGTGCAAAATCATCGTTCCTTTGAATAAACATATTCTTATAGAATATCAATTTAATATTTTCATCGGTACTAATGTTGATTTTGGTTTTGATGAATTAAAACATGAAATGAATATGTAATTGCTTTGCGTTTATAAAAACTTGTGGTACTACATCCTGTCGACATTCTGTACTTATATCTTAGAATTGCACAAGGTCATTATGTTTTCTCATAGTGTTTATGACGTCTTTACAACAAATCCGTTGGATGTGCACTGATTGATACTTTAGTCTGAAAGAACATGAATATTTATTGTTTGTTATTGGCTTTGAACTAGTTTTCAGTAACTGTAAATTGTGTATCTTTTTTATTTTATTTTATTTATTTAGTTTTTATTTTTATTTGGTGCTTCGTGCCGATTTGATTGGTCCAACCATTTTCAACTGATTTTTACTCGGATGAGATCCGTAGTTATCTTATCACCCAATTTTAGCTATTCGAAAACTCTCTTACTTCTACTATATAGTTAAGCGAAGGAAAAGGTTGGGGCTGTTCCTAATGGATTATCGATTTTATATGAGTGTGCTTTTAAAACGCAATTACAGCAATGATGCCTACGCTGACACTATCGAGTGCAAAATCGCGATCTTTATCTCTTCATATATATAAATCTTATCAATGAAATTTCATGAAAATTATTTTGTTAAGAATATCTATTTGTAATATCAACATGTATTGTTGTGAGAAAAATAATTCTGTAAATTTGTTTACGCGGGTGAATTCCTGATTTGATGACGTATACCAGTCAAATATTAAAGGGTAGAGAAGCATCACAGTTATGTTACATTATCTATCGATCACTAATTATCAGGGGTTGTAGTATTCACATAACTGATGACGTTAAACTTACGGCTAACATGGGAATTGTACATGAAATTGAATGTATTTATTGTGTACAAAGGTTCTTATACAAGAAGTAAATTCAGTGGATATTGGCATTACAGTCAAATTAATCTTTAATATAATTTCGTACGTACAAACAAATCACTCATGCACGCGATAGACATACGTTCTTCCAAAATAGCGAGGTGTGTATGCTATGTCAAGATCTAAATCGTCTCGAGGATTAAATTGTGAAGTTTAGTTCTCAACGATATTAGGATTTTTAAGCATATAGTATAGCAGTATTTGCTCACCCTTCCGGGGCACATGAGATTGCCCCCAGTTTTTGTTTGGGTTCCTGTTGCTCAGTCTTAAGTGGTTTTTTTTGGTAGTGTTGTGTGGACTTGTTTGTTTTTTTCGGCGTTTTTCGTTTTTTGCGATGGCGTTGTGGCAAACTTCTGAAAGTGAAAGCAAAACAAAAAAAAAGAAAGAAAAAGTACCTTTTCTTTATTGTAATGGTTTGATAGTTTTCATTTTTCATATTCAATAATTTGTTTTTACCAAAAACAAATGGGATGCCTTGCCACCCTCTCAGCTCCTACACCCTTGACTTTAAGCAGGAACTTTTTATAAGTTATGAAGCCCAACAAACCAAACAGTGTTTTCGATAGACTCTGCATTTTCAATATCCCAAATGTCAATTGATGTCTATGCGTGTTAATCTATTGTATTAGGTTGCTGACCTGCTGATTTTTACTGAATATCTCCTTATTCATGTCTTTCAAATCATTTTATTGTATATTAACCCATTGAAAAAGAGAGAAAAGAGAAAAATTTCCAACACTTCAGGTATATCAAAACAAATCAATGGCCATTTATACTGGCAATATAAACGAAAAAATTAAATAAGTGTTAAAACATGATTTTTAAGTTGTAAGGAAAATGAACCCGTAAAAAGGTTAATGGTTCACAAGTCCCAATGTATTTAAATTGCTGTGAAATCAAGTAAAAATAAGTATAATATAAGGTTTGACTCCTTCATGTTCCCCTTATTCACATGTTACCACTCCCCCCTCAGTTTTAAAAGTTCCTTGGTCCACTACTGATTAAGGTTAGCAAACCAAAATAGGCTTCTGTGAATTACCTCTTCCGTTAGAATAATGCATTTAGTCAACTAAAACAATTGCTATTATAAACATTGTAAAAATACATGAATTTAATATTTTATGCATTGGTAAGATCATGGAATGATTAAGAAAATGGATGAGGTCTTGCTTTTAAAATTTGAACCGTTAAACTAATCAAAGAACATAAAACACAGTGTTCAAAATAAGAAAGGTCTACGCTGTAAATATTTTTAAGGAAAAGGGACAACCACCGCAACACAAGCAAGGGTCACATGATTACAGAATTATAGTTTCCTAAACTTCTTCAGTCTTGTAATATAATTATGGGAGGGTGTCGGTTTGATTGCTTTTTTCATAATAACGTCTGATTGGAATGTGTACTTTCATTGAATGCATTATTCAGCTATCACACAGTGCAAAACCCATTTCCCCTTTTTCAGTTGTCCCTTTCGAAGATATGTGCCCACAGGACATATCCTCCTTATTAATTAACTGTTAAAAATGTTATCGTCTTAAATGTGGCCAAAACCTTTGACAGTCGAGGCAAGAAAGCAACTGCAAGTTACTTCTACATGTAGCTGTCTACATGGACATGAAAATCTATATGATTTATTCGCCAGCCATCAGATCTTGGGGACATCTGAGTTAACAATACTTCAGTACTTTGATTAAAGTTTGTTCTTATGTTGTGCTATAACACCACTGTCAAAGATTAGGAAATGGTTATCGTTGGTTGCTGTCTGTTATATTTGTTTTTCGTTTATTGTTTTGTCATAAATAAAGGCAACAGTAGTATACCGCTGTTCGAAACTCATAAATCGATAGAGATAAAAACAAATTCGGGTTACAAACTAAAACTGAGGGAAACGCATCAAATATAAGAGGAGAACAACGACACAACAAAAACACAACATTAAAATGTAACACACACAGAAAAGAACTATAATATAACAATGGCCATTTTCCTGACTTGGTACAGGACATTTTAAGAAAAAAATGGTGGGTTGAACCTGGTTTTGTGGCATGCCAAACCTCCCGCTTTAATGGCAACGTCAAACACAACACCAAAACGACAACATCACATGACAGGACCACAATACAAATAAATGGGAGAACATATAGGACAAAGAAACACACGAATAATAGCTAACAAAAGGTACTAGGCTTAAAATTCATAAATCAGGTCGGTATTTTTTTTTATATTTTACTATAGTATTAATGTATGGACTTTTTCATATTGGCCCTGTAACATGCCCGAGGTATAAATAATGGCCAAGGATGGTTGTAATGGCCCCGAGGCAACGCCGAGGGCCATTTCAAATGTCCGAGGCCATTATCCATACCAAGGGCATATTACAGAGCCAATAAGAAAAAAGTCCATATATTGATACTTTTATTAACCAACTTCATTGAAGAATAGTCTTCGAGTCTCGGGTTAATATACAGCTAACCAAGAATTTATAACAGGGCCAATACAGAAACAGCCAGTTCGTTCATAACACTTTTATTAAATGGGTTTAATTCTTCGATTAAACTTAGAGTAAGAAACTTACCGTGAAGAAGATACAGGAATTCATAGCTTAACTTGTCTTTTCGCGTTTACAATGGATTTTTGGTCAACATTGTCAGATGTAATTTCTAATTTCTCATCCAAGTACAAATGTACTTAATGTTATGCTATTACAATTCATTTTATCTAGCAAACATAAAGTAGCCGGGAAGAATAAATCAGACAGTTTAACTATTCTAATTACTCTTGAAACATCTGCATTATGATGATTGATCAACGGAATCGAAAATACTCGAAAAGGCTGTGAAATATTTCCGTTTCAAGACGTTACAAAACACTGAACATCATTTAAACTTTTTTTTAAATGACACTTATTTAAAGAAATAAACGACATTTTGATTTAATTGATGTCCCGTTTCGTCTGATCATAATGCATGGCTGTGATTTCGTAATGCACGGGTGTGATTTTCTAATGCATGACTGAGATTTCGTAATGACTGGCTGTAGCAATTTCTCCGTTCATAATGACCAGTTGTCGAAATTCTCCATTTATAAAGCATGGGCATTTCTATACATTTTGTAGTAAGTTGGTTAATAAATTGTAGAACACTATTCATTAATTTTGATGCACGGTATCACCTTATTTATTATAAGTACGTTGGTGGAATGTTTTGTCAATATCTGAAAATCCTACATAAAAGAATTTTTGTCATAGATCAAAAAATGTGACGATCTGCACATCAAATTTGCAAACTATTACATGTATCATGATTAATTTGTTGACACACTTCCTGGTAATTAAGATACATGCCTTTGTAATTGACAATTAAGATAAATGTTCCGCTTTTATAAGAAGTTTTACCAGGATCTTGTATAAACATTTATAATATAAAATATGGATAAGTATTTTTTTTCCGTGATATTCTTTTTAATGACTTTTTTCTCGGAATCATAATTATTAATTATAACAGCAATAAGCTTGTAATTAATTTACTCATTTCGTAATCGCTGACTTTTTTACGTTGTAAATGTGTTTATCTTTAAAGCATGCGTTTAAATAAACTGTATAAAATTGTTCGTCTTATAATACGCAGGTAAAGATATGAGCAGTTGAATTAAGTTTGTTTAACCTCAGTTACCCCAGGAATGGATCTTAAACTAGAGAGACGCAGTTTTTACATATATACAAACCTTAATCGTGTAATATTAGGACGCTTTTCATCGATTTTGAATAATAATATAACGTTAATACTCTCAACAAATATTTTTTGTTATTTTGAAGAGTGTATTTAAAATATAATATAATCAATATAAGGAGCGACAAATACATAACACTAATAGGCCACAAAACGGTGTTAAGCAAGGGCAAGTGTACCAACCAAGCTAGTATTATGGGAGGGTGTCTGTTTGATTGTTTTTTTCACAATTACGTCTGATCGGAATGCGTACTTTCATTGAATGCATTATTCAGCATTCACACAGTGCAAAACTCATTTCCCCTTTTTCAGTTGGCCCTTTCGAACATATGTGCCCACAGGACATATCCTCCTTATTGATTAACTGTTAAACATGTTATCGTCTTAAGTGTGGCCAAAACCTTTGACAATCGAGGCAAGAAAGCAACTGCAAGTTACTTCTACATGTAGCTGTCTACATGGACATGGAAATCTATATGATTTATTCGCCAGCCCTCAGATCTTGGGATCATCCGAGTTAACAGTACTTCAGTACTTTGATTAAAGTTTGTTCTTATGTTGTGCTATAACACCACTGTCAAAGATTAGGAAATGGTTATCGTTGGTTGCTGTCTGTTATATTTGTTTTTCGTTTATTGTTTTGTCATAATTCAGGTCGGTATTTTTTTTATATTTTACTATAGTATTAATGTATCCATGGACTTTTTCATATTGGCCCTGTAACATGCCCGAGGTATAAATAATGGCCAAGGATGGTTGTAATAGCCCCGAGGCAACGCCGAGGGCCATTTCAACTGTCCGAGGCCATTATTCATACCAAGGGCATGTTACAGGGCCAATAAGAAAAAGTCCATATATTGATACTTTTATTAACCAACTTCATTAAAGGACAGTCTTCGAGTCTCGGGTTAATATACAGCTAACCATTAATCTATAACAGGGCCAATACAGAAACAGCCAGTTCATAACATTTTTATCAAAAGGGTTTAATTCTTCGATTAAACTTAGAGTAAGAAACTTACCGTGAAGAAGATACAGGAATTCATAGCTTAACTTGTCTTTTCGCGTTCACAATGGATTTTTGGTCAACATTGTCAGATGTAATTTCTAATTTCTCATCCAAGTACAAATGTACTTAATGTTATGCTATTACAATTCATTTTATCTAGCAAACATAAAGTAGCCGGGAAGAATAAATCAGACAGTTTAACTATTCTAATTACTCTTGAAACATCTGCATTATGATGATTGATCAACGAAATCAAAAATACTCGAAAAGGCTGTGAAATATTTCCGTTTCAAGACGTTACAAAACAATGAACATCATTTAAACTTTTTTTAAATGACACTTATTTAAAGAAATAAACGACATTTTGATTAAAGTTTGTTCTTATGTTGTGCTTTAACACCACTGTCAAAGGATAGGAAATGGTTGTCGTTGGTTGTTGTCTGTTATATTTGTTTTTCGTTTATTGTTTTGTCATAAATCAAGTCGGTATTTTTTTTTAATTTTTAATCGTTTCGCATTTTGTCATGTCAGGCCTTTTATATCTGACTATGGGTATGGGTTTTGCTCATTGTGAAGCCTTGTGGTAACCTCTAGTTGCTTAAATCCGCTTCATATGGACACTGTTGGCTTTTTTGTCATTGACAATCTACCACATCTTCTTATTTTATAAAGATTTTAGAAAACTATTCATTCATTTTGATACACGGTTTCACATTATATATCATATACACTGGTGGAATACTTTGTCAATATCTGAAATACCAACATACAAGAATTTGTGTCATAGATCAAAGAATGTGACGATCTGCACATCACTGAAAGTTGCAAACTATTACATGTATCATGATTAATTTGTTGACACACTTCCTGGTAATTAAGATACGTGCCTTTGTAATTGACAATTAAGATAAATGTTCCTTTTTTCCTAGAAGTTTACCAGGATTTTTTATAAAACATTTATAATTAAAAAAGTAGGATAAGTATTTTTCTCCGTGATATTATTTTTAATGACTTTTTTCGCGGAATCATAATTGTTAATTATAACAGCAATAAGCTTATAATGTATGTACTCATTTCTTAATCGCTGATTTTTTTACGTTGTAAATTTGGTTTATCTTTGAGGCATGCGTTTAAATAAACTATATAACATAGTTCGTCTTATAATACGCAGGTATAGATATGAACAGTTGAATTAAGTTTGTTTAACCTCGGTTACCCCAAGAATTGATCTTAAACAAGAGAGACGCAGTTTTCACATACAAACAAACCTTATTGTGTAATATTAGAACGCTTTTCATCGATTTTTTGAATCGTTATTTAACGTAAATACTCTCAACAGATATTTTTGTTATTTTGAAGAGTGTATTTAAAATATAATATAATCAATATAAGGAGCGACAAATACATAACACTAATAGGCCACAAAACGGTGTTAAGCAAGGGCAAGTGTACCAACCAAGCTAGCTATACTAACCCCTCGAAACAAACAAATGAAGGAATTCAATTTCAATTGCATTTTATAATTTTTCCTCATTCTATGGCCGTTCTTGGAACTTGATTTCTTGATGGTGTATGATATCATACGATGCGACTGTCATACAAGTGAGAGGTTTAGCTAGCTATAAAACCAAGTTTGATCCACCATTTTCTACATAAGTTGATGACAAATGGTAAACTAGTTTGAAATTAAACATGTCTGGGAGATTTCTGTAAAATACTGACTAAATGCAGCGTACATAACAAAATTATAATGTAATGGTTGTCATGTGATCTTCGCAGGTCAGAAATAGTTTGTGTGATTAAGTTTTTGGGAGGACGAGCCATTGAGGAAAATATGAAGCGGCACGCATTATTTAAGAATTTTGAAAACATCGGAGATTCGCAAAATTGTACTTATTATACGTTTACCACTCTGAAACACTTGATATTATATCAGGTTTCAGGGAGTTTGATTTGAGTTGCACAAAGCTATACGAGTTATGACTGTATGGATTAATTTTGTTAGCTGTACATCTGCTTTCTATGTTGTTTTTTTTATTATTTTCCTATGAATTTCAATTTTCTGTATCTACCCTGTGGACATAAGTAAAGAGTTATTTTATCGTCAATTGAGTGTGTATAGACATGTGTCTTTTAACCAACATAAGAACTTGTATCATCAATTTTAAATAACAACAGAAAGGATACGATGCTCACGAATTTCATTGGATGTTAATGTAAAGGACTAAAAATAAACATCTGGAGGCAAAAAGGATGCGAGACCCAAGAATATTCCAAATTACGATTATAAGTCACGACAATGATACAATTTGTTTTACAAATAATTTTTAAAGACACTAAATCATAAACATGTTATGAATCGTATATGTTACGTGTATATGTCAAATATCAAAATAAAATAATTTATTTGCTGCAATTTTTCCTTTCATTTTAATAGGGGTTAATATTAAATTAATTTATACATAATTTTGACATTTGCAGATGATAACGATACTGAAAAACACTGGTCTGACGTCATTTTCGGACAGGATTTCTTAGGCATTCAATGGCATACAAACAATATACATAGATCTTTCTCAGAAACAAAATTGAGAAGAAATACTCACACCTGTCTATATCTGTTTATCGATATCATATATATTTGTTTGTTTGTATATTAACCATATAGTACTTTTAAAGCAATAATATTTTTGAGGTGATTCAGAAAATATTGTCCAATAAGATTTCTAGTTAAAAATATTTTACAGGAAACCACGATAACTAATCAGTACCTCAAAAATAAAAAATTAAAAAAAACAAGAAGCAAGACCAATGAATTAAGAACAGGACTTGGTGTGGCTACTAATTAATTATCGGATATAACTAACATTCCCATCCAACTAAATTATTAACATTTACTATCCACATCTGACAAGAAATGGCAGCAAAGGAGCTTTCTACAATTCCAGATGTTTTGATTACACATACAGGAGCAGAGTCATCATCGGAAACAGCAAAAGGAGAACTAAATAGCGATCTGACCTTGATAAATCCTTTAGACGAGACTTCAGATGGAGGCTGGGGATGGTTCATTGTGATAAGCAGTATGATGATCCACTTCATTGTTGGTTTGTGACTTTAAATTTAAAGATATCATACCCTAATGCAATGGAGTTTCTTAGCTTGCGAATTTAACCAATTAACTCTATAAGGCAGATAATTTATTTTTAAAAACAAATTGTTTGATATTTGACAACATTTTTTTCGCTTAAAATAAATTGAACCAAATAACAACACATATCACTGATGAGAAATAAACATTATCATGATTAGGTATGATTGATATATTTTTTTAAATAAATGTACTATACTTAGTAAAGGCCAATTCAAGAAATATATAACAGGTCCATATTTTTCATGATTATTAGTATATTTACTGATATTTTTTTTAAAAAATGTACTATACTTAGTAATGACCAATTTAAGAATTATATAACAGTATCCATATTTTTCATCAACTACTATTTCATTCTAGCTGGTTTAAACAGGGCAGCAGGAATATTATACCTGCGATTTGAAGAGAAATTCAATAAACCTGCTTCAATCACAGCGTGGGTTACTTCATTGTCAGTCAGCTTGACTCTGGCTGGAGGCAAGTACTTCAGACATACTTAAACGTGATTGATATGAGAGTAGCTCTTATTCTTTTTCCTTGTTTGGCTTTACTTTTGATCCTTTTCGACTATTTCTGCTCTTGAAAATGGCGAAATATACAAAAAGAAACACAAAGTCGAAGAAGAACCGACAAAACCTATGCAATTAACGAAAACCGACGAAAAGAAAAACAAGTCTACAAATCGCTTTATAAAAAACTTAAGATTTAGCAAGGAACACCACAAAAAAAAATAGGTGATCTCATGTGCTTCGGAAAGGTAACCAGAATTTGCTCCAAATGTGGTACCCGTCGTGTTGCTCGTGGTTAGTACATTCAATATTTGATAGTTTCATTCAACGCTTGTATTAGGTTTGAGGTTATCTGTTACGTTGGCTTCGAGCATCACACATTGTATTGATGGGAAATGTATCAATTCTCTTTTCATAGATTGAGACTTATATTTTTAATGTTAAAATCCTTATTTCCTCCGCGTCTTATAGATTGTCTGTCGCTATTATATGCACCTCATTTGTGCATTCGACGTGTTTTGTTCATTTGTGTCAAATCTGTAGTTATTTCTTTTGATTTCATATATACATGGTATAAATGCACATGGTGATTTGGAGCTTCCCAGATGTATATTGTTGAAGATCGTATTTCACCTGTAGATATTATTTTCATTTGACTTGATATTGTCTCAACATCTGACTTGATATTTACTCAACATCTGACTTGATATTGTCTCAACATCTGACTTGATATTTACTCAACATCTGACTTCATTAATAAACATGTGTCGATATTTATGGGGATAGGCAGTCTCAAAATAGGAATCCTTATTATTGGTTATACAAATATTACAATGATAACCTGATATTAAGACACCATATTGTAAATTCAGAAATTATTGCGAAATTTTTATAATGCGAGTAATGCGACTCGGAGAGAATCGCAATAATAAGAACTTGCATTCTTGTATCTGATACATATATCGATATACAGATACTCTTGAAATCGCAATAATTAATCTCACATGTTGTCCATTTTTCAAAAATTGCAATAATAAGTGCACGCAAAATTTCTGGATTTTGAAAGTGATGAATTATGTTTGATCATTTGGTTTTGTAGGTCCAGTAGCATCAGCATTGTGTAACAGATTTTCGTACAGATGGGTTGTTGTAGCAGGAGGAATAGTTTTAGCTGTCTCCATGGTGATATCTGCACTCTCTCCCAACCTGTACGTTTTGTTTGTCAGCTATGGGGTTATTGGAGGTAAAACAAATTGTTAAAATGTCATGTTGTTTATAAAATAGTGAACACAAATTATTATAGTGTTTAATATTTACTATGTATAAATCAAAAATCGGTAAAAAAGAATTGAATGCTTTTTTTAAAGTTTTATTGGGGTACCAAAAACATTTTGCATGAAGTGCAGCTTTATATAAAATATGTGCACACGATCAACGCTTTTACAACCCTATAAAATTATAAAAAGAAGCATTCAATTCTTATAATTGCATTTTTGTGCTTCAACCATGAAATTAAGTTATATCAAGATTTATTATTGTTTTTCAATGCATTATTATAACATTGCCACGGATAGCACGTGGAGTCACTGCTGTTGTATTTTATACGGAAATATTGGTATATAATTTGATATCGGAGGGCCTTGTGATTGTTTTCAGTTAATCAAAATTACGGATTAGCATGAAACATACATGTAATGTAATTATTACAAAACAAACTACAAAAATAAATAAGACGTTAAAATGGAAGGTTAAAAAGTTAATGCATTTTAAAATGTTGAACTAATGTAAGAATACTAAAAAGAGAATTAAGATGATATAGACATATAATTACATAACATGTATGTTTCATAAGAATCCATACTTTTGATTGGCTGTCAACTATCGAGAGACATTCCAAATCTAGATTTTATTTTCCAATAAAATCCAACATTCATGACAGCACGTGCTTCCCGTGACAACGTCACAAAATGCATAGGAAAAAACTAAATATTTGATATAATTCGTACTTTCATGGTTGTAGCATAAAAATGAAATTATAAGAATTGAATGCTTCTTTTTGTAATTTTATAGGGTTGTAAAAGTGTTGATCGTGCGCACTTTTTTTAGCATGAAGCGCTTTCGCGATTCATACAAAATTTGTTTCGGTCAACGCTTTTACTCCCCGATAAAATATCAGAAAGAAGCCTTCAATTCTTAAATGAAATATACGTTACCAGTATATGCATGGCTAATAGTAGATTAAATGATATGAATATGTTAAGAGGTACTTCACAGTTCTGGAAGAATAATCGATGATAATGTGAAAAAGTATAATGACGACGGAAATCAAGAAAAGTAAAATGATTAGGGAGGTCCATATTTAACGCAGTGCCTGCTTTGTATATAGAATAAAAACCACCGTTCTTGAACAAGATAAGGATAATTTCGAAAACTGAAGAAATAAAATACAACGAGAAGAATAGTAAATATATTCTTTAAATCTACCTTTAATCATGTCCATATTATTATACTTTTTCAGGTATCGGTAAGACTTTGGCATACGGACCAGGTGTCGTTATCGTAGGTATGTATTTCAGTAGAAGACGCGGTATAGCTGTTGGTTTGGGTACCTCCGGTGTGGCATTGGGTGCTTTTGCTGTGCCAACTTTGGTTGAGTTCTCATTTTCGGAATACCGATATCTTGGAGCTTTTATAATCATGACAGGGATTGCTTTACAGTTGGTTGTGTGTGGATTTCTATTGCGACCATTGTCATTACACAAACAGATTACGGAGTATGAAAGAAGGTTTGTCTGCTATATATATACCAAATATAAAACTACTTCAACCCAGTCACGTGCTAATGTGTCTATCAAAAGCTAAAAGCCTCGTCAGTAGTTGCCTTATTTTTTATTTTCACATTATTTTTGGTCCATTTTGGGAATGTTGTGCTAACGGAAGATCTTTTGTTTTGTCCGATAAGATTTACTCACAACATTGTGATATGTGATATGTGATATGCCAGTACTCTCAGATCTGTACTCTGTGTCTTTTGGCTTTTTTTTTTGTAGTTTTATTTTGTGCTTTGTATCGACCTGATGCGTTAAGCCCTTTCAGCTGATTGTTATAGTTTGTTCTTATGTTGTACTATTACACCACTGTCTCAGGTTAGGGGGAGGTTTTGGCGCAAGCAAATATGTTTAACCCAGCTATATTATGTGTGTGTCTGTCCCAAGTCAGAAGCCTGTAATTCAGTGGTTGTCGTTTATTGCTGTATATCATATTTGATTTTCGTTTATTGGTTTGTACATAAATCTCATTTGAATTGTTTTACATTTGTCATTTCGGGGCCTTTTATAGCTTCCTATGCTGTTTGGGTTTTTGCTTATTGTTGGAGGACGTACGATGTACTACAGCTGTTAACCTCTACGTCATTTTGGTCTTTGGTGGAGAGTTGTCTCATTGGTAATCATACCACAGCTTATTTTTATATGGTTAGGCATTTGTGTATAGATAAAAAAGATATGTTGGCATCTACCTACCCATATATGTACATATTGACTCAGCTTGAAGTTAAATATATTTATTCTTTATTTCCTCAAGGTTTGCAATTAAGGCGACAGTAATTTACTCATGTTCAAATCTCGTTAATCGATTAGGAAGAGACAAAGCAAGGTAACAAACAAAAACTGAAAGAATCGCATGAACTCCTAAAGGAGCGAGCCCGGGAGCGTCGATAGGGTCAGCGTCTACTGTTATGTATGCATCACCCATCGTGCGAATTCACAGTCAGTCAAAATGTCACAATCGGAAAAAGGACACACATAGTCAAAACTAATGAAAACATTTAACCACATTAACTGTATTGACTTTATGTTACATATTATATATTAATTATATTGTCTGCACGTGCAATTGAAATGAAAACGGGTATTTGTACAGAAAGAAAGATTATAAATAGTTTGTTTTTTTTTATTTTTGTAGAAAACTACAAATACTGAAATGGACTGAGAATAATAAAAGTGTCTTAAGTTTCGCTAAATCACAAGAAAATGCCAGATCTTTGCCAACGGATACAGTACACAGGACTAGTAAAATTATTGTAAAGGATATTAACCGTTTTGCTAAAGTCAGTCTGAAAGTCGATGAGAAAAATAAAGAAACAAAGCAAAACGGAAAGTTTTGTGACTTTTCTCTCTTAAAAAATAATCGTTTCAGTAGTTTATGCGCAGCAGTTGTGCTTTTCAACGTGTCTTACCAGTCCAGCATGATATTTCTTCCCGCGCTTTCAGTAAAAATTGGCATCGATGAGTTTGAATCGTTTCCAGTTGTAGTTGTCGGTATTTGTGACGGACTTGGGAGAATCATATCAGGGTTTTTGTTTGACCGCAAGTGTATATTGCCTATAAGATGCTATATTTACAATGCAGCACTATTCTGTTTGGGAGTAACGACAATGTTTATCCCGCTAGTTACAGATACCACTCAATTCGGGATAGTATGTGCTATACTTGGATTATTTCTTGGAAACGGTGTATCCCAGCAGTCGGTTGTAATTGTTGATATCCTAGGAGAAGAAAACTTATCTTGTGGTTTTGGAATACTGATACTGTTTCAAGGAATAGGAACATTTATAGGTCCTCCATTATCTGGTACGTATATATATACAGCAAGCAAACTCTGAAACAGTGGTGACATAATGCTACGATTCTTTGTAGAGAAAGGGATGTTCACCCGAACGATAACGATGTAATGAGTTTGTACAGCAAGGTTAGATAGATGGCAAAAAAAAAGAGAGAGCCGATACCAAGGGGACAATCAAAAACCATAAGTCGAAGTAATGAAAACAACCCTAATAAGTCTTACAACAACAACAATAACAACAAAAACGTATGAAACCAATATATATGCACACGTGATTCTGCTATCCGAGAACAAAGTTTTGAAAGCTAAAAAATATAAAACATTGAGAGCGTAAATATCCTTAAACGACCCGGAATGAACAAACAAATTTAAACCATATTAGGTCAATTTTGCCTGTGGGAGTTGCAATTTTAGGCTTTAGTTTAATTGCAAAAAAAAAAATAACTGACAATATACAGACAAAATGTATCATTGACTTCAAGAAGTAGGTTTTGGGCGTATTGCATCATCTGGGACTAATAGTCCCCCAGCATTAGTACCGACCTAGTAGTAGAAGACTAATACGTATACTTCTACTATTACTTATAAGTATTGTGTACTATTAACAAATGTTAAGTTGGAGTAATAGTTAAAAATCATCTGTCCATTCTCTTGATCTACCTATATTTATGGCCCTTTTGTAACTTTGTCCTCGTCCTGAAAATATGCATGAAACGATTTTATTTTATATTTATGATATTAAGTCACAAATTTTAGTAGCTAGTTTTTCTTACGAGTCGATTTAGATTTAGATTTTTCTGTTCAATTCTTGACTGTGGTCAAATATATTTAAATACAATTGAATATTCCATGCGTAACCATGAAACCTAAACTACATTCAACTTTATCTTTGTAGGTTTACTTAAAGATATAAATGGATCGTACGATTATGCCTTTTATTTAGGTGGCGTTTGTGCTATCTTGGGTGCAGCCATTTTTATGGGAGCAAATGTTGTGCATTATAAATTAGAGAAAAATATGTACAATATAGAATCAAAAGAACAGTTGAAAGATGACACACGCTTTTAATTGTCATAAAATATAGATCTCCAAGAACGAGGGAAAAAAATTGAAATATTTCGCTTCTAATTTATTAATTATTTATTGATAATTTATTTCCATTGCTACGTTTGATTCAAGCAACAAATATATAGAGAAGTCTAATCTTTTGTGTTTGTCTCTATGTTTTTATTGTATTTTTCTTGGGATTCATTTGTTTTTGCTTTTTGTTTTTGAATTGCTAAATATCATTTGAAAATATTTTAATAATTATTTAAGACAAACCCATGCTTATAGAAACATGATGATTTGTTGTCGATAGTGATCAAATATGTTCAGGTCATATTTTGATAACTGTAGTTATTTTAAGAGACAAGTTTGTTAAAAAAAACTCCATATATGAAATATGCCTGCGTTTGTTTTGGCCTTTAGAATTTACTTCAACAACTTTGTTACCACAGTTTCTTCTAATTAACTGACTAGATTTCCTTGAAACTTTCATAGTATCTTAAATATCTAATGGCATTATGTACCTCTTATTATTTGTTTATTCTGTGAGTTCTTTTTATTAAAATTTAACTCGTGGTTAATGATGAGTTGCAGATATAAGACGCCTACCATTTCATGTAATATTGCAAAATTCGTGCTTTACTACAGAAAATTTCGAAAATCATTCGGCACAATGTAAGATAACATGGACTTCCATCATATTACATAGGGGATAGTCGTCTTATATCTGTAACTCCTGCTAAGTAAACCACTGATAAAATATTCATAAAACTTTCACATAATCTGTCTTGCATAGCTAGCTTACCGAATTAGACTATTTACCGGATTTGTAATAACATAAGTAACACGACGGGTGCCACATGTGGAGCAGGATCTGCTTACCCTTCCGGAGCACCTGAGATCACCCCCAGTTTTTGGTGGGGTTCGTGTTGCTTAGTCTTTGGTTTTCTATGTTGTGTCATCTGTACTATTATTTGTCTGTTTGTCTTTTTTATTTTTGGCCATGGCGTTGTCAGTTTGTTTTCGATCTATGAGTTTGACTGTCCCCCTGGTATCTTTCGTCCCTCTTTTAGCTCACATTGTCTTACATTGTGCAATATCATTTTTAGAGTTTCATGTGGCATAATATGTACTTTTTTTATATTACATAACAAGGTAGACGTGTCATATCTGCAGCTTATATTAAACTACTGGATTTCGATAAAACTTTCACAGAATCCGTTTTACATGATACAATTGTCATTGTGCCCTCCTTCTTTTATTCGAATATTTTGTGGTGTTTCTTAAAGCAAATGTTGACTAATCATATCAATGTACACATGGGAGTGGACTAAAGTATAAACTTGTGACCTCAATACACAGTTATATAGTTGTTTTGCGACGTTAGTATCACTATTAACTTCCTTGTTTTTCTATTTCATATATGAATAAACAACTCCTCATCAATCGTTATGAGTACATATATACTTGTTCTCCGAGTGCGGTATTTCGAAATGTATTATTTCAAATACAATACACAAATGAATACTACTTTTCATATTAAAGGTTAACGTTTTGGGTTTCATAAATCTGCGCAATTCAAAACTTCATTCATAGTGACACTGAGATCTATTGTATCTTTAAATATCCATAAACAAATTAAAAATAAGATTCAACCTTGAAAAATTTCGGTCAACTGGTGAACGAATTTGATATTTGGTATTCGAGTGTTAGTTTATCATTGTTTTCTCCAATAGTATGTATATTTATGCTGCATACTAATCTGAAATTGCCTCTATATCTTAACGTTTTTCAAAATATTTCAGTGTATAAAAACTATAAGCTTTAAGGCAAATGAAACCTGAAAGGTCACAACTTGCGAGTATTGAAATAGAAAATGATATGGCCAACACTAAAACCAGTAAGACAAGAAAATGAATATCTACACACCGGCTGGTGATCGTAAGGTTTACAAGACAAGAAAGTGAATATCTACACACCGGCTGGTAATCGTAAGGTTTACAAGACAAGAAAGTGAATATCTACACACCGGCTGGTGATCGTAAGGTTTACAAGAAAAGACTTGAAGTGAATATCTACCCACCGGCTGGTGATCGTAAGGTTTACAACAGTTTTCAAAAGTTTAAATATGTTCAAGGTTCAATGTTTTGATGCGATTGGACATCTAAAAGGCATGTCGTTATTTTAAATTTTTCGTAACCTGTTAGTTTATAAAAATAAAAATCTTGAACTAATGCAATGCAGTCTGATATCTTTGATATAGAAAATAGTATACTATTTCTCCGAGAATTTTTTTCTCAAATTGATAAGCTCACAATTAGTGGTATATTTTCTCCAAGCTATGTTTGAGGTGTTCAATATATGTGACCCGCCATAACAATTCCAGGCTTATGGAGGTGTAACGCCGTTGATAGAAAAACGCCGTTAAAAAAGATGGTGGGTCTTAATTAAAATCCATAGAAATTTTTAATAATTTGCCAAAATGTAGTTTATATCATGGATTTCTCAAATATATAATAAAAAGAATGGGTCACAGGGCTTTTTCTCAAGCTATAGGATGTGCAAAATTATCAGATTTTGTATAGATTATTCTTGGTAAACACAATTTTGTGTGATAGAAAGAAAATTAAACCATAGAATTTTAAGATAAAATATAAGAGAGCTATTATAATGGGCTTTCAAATATAGATAGACAGAATAGGGTCATGGGACTTGTGTTCTTGCTGCAAAACAAAATAAGGTACTGGTAATTTCATAACACATTCCAGTATAAAAGTTATATTACCTGAGTTATCTCCCCTTGTATAGCAAAGTTGAAAAAACTGCATCAAACAAAATATTTGTGAAAAACAGTCACAAAAATATAATAAAATCCATAATTTTCTTCATTTAGATGAAAAGTCTAACAAATGAATGGCATTCTTCTCTCAAAATTTGCACATTTCATTAAAGATCTAGACCGATCGTTTCCTGCTATTGTATAATCCAAGATGGCGGAAGACACGTGAGCTACCTTAACTATGAACATTACTTCACATTTTGTAAACATACTGAATTGAAAGTCTGGATGATTTTTAGCATTGGTGCATTGTCCATCACATTTTTCTAATGAATAGTTATCAAATATCGATTGAAAATGCTTTACATGTACTAGATTCATTTTATCTATAAAACCTCACCATTGATACTATACTCACAATTAATTCACCAAATGTATGTGTAACACAGGAACTGCCAATAATAAGAATACAGTTATACACATTCATAAATGTAGCTTTACGATTTTTACATCGGATGTGACCTTGAGAGGTCATACCGGTGTTATGTTGCCGCAGAAATTTCCTTGCGCTTTTGACTGATAACCGAACGTATTTCGTATAATTACGCGGATATTATCGAGTGCAAAATAACATTCCTTATCGCTTGTTATATATTAATTTCATCAATAAATATTCATGAAAATAATTTTTAAGAACATAGATAAATGATATGAAAATGTGTTTTGTCGTGAGAAATATATATATATATGTAAACCTCAGATCTGTGTACGGCCTCAAATCTGTGTCCGTTTCGCCAATCTGTGCCCCATCGTGACGTCAATCGATAATCTATGTCCGTTCAAAAAGATACGGCCTCAAATCTGTGTCCTATTTTCAAATTTGTTTTCAATCGTGACGTCATTCGCAAATCTATGTTCGTTTAAAAGATACGGCCTCAAATCTGTGTTCTTTTCTTAAATCTTTTTCCAGTTTGTTTCGCCATGCGCAAATTTATGCCAGTCTAATAAGTACGGCCTGAAAGGATTTTTGTTTTATTAAGTCATTTCCCATAATTCAATGTTAAGTTGGGATGTGTTCTCCATGTTTGTGCTTATAAATTTTACATGCGTGTGTAATTATTGTATGATTTACATTTTATTGTAAAACTACAACATTTTCAAATTGTTTGCTTTTCTTGATCCCTTGTTTAATTGTTCTGTAGTAATTATCGTTACTTCCCTTTACTCATTACGTCTTGATAACAAATACGAAATATAAGTTAATAAACAACCTGAGACGAAATGACATCTGTATACAAGCAACTAAAGATACATGTATGGCCTTCAACAATGAATTGAACCTATTCTGTATCGTAATCTGTAAACACATACACCTATTTGTTCAATGTTTCAATGTATAGGTACCACATAAAAATGTTTAGGGTATAATTTATTGCCGGTTTAACAACGACATTTTGTGACACTATCTTATTAAAAAAGGTTTTTTTTCTGGTGAAACTATTCCGGTTTCGAATCTATGTATTTTTTAAAATCCATTGTGTACCATGACATCAACATTCAACAACCACAACATAATTCTGTGTACAAATTATTGGCATAACGAGCATACGTGTTACTTTATTAATGTGCCTTCAAGAATGAAACTACAAATATTTTTTTACTTGATTACGTCTTGCTATGTCTTACGTCACCACATTTCGATAAAGGACATAGATTTGTGACAAAAATGGCCATAGATTTGAGTTAATAAAGGACATAGATTTGAGACAATAAAAGACATAGATTTGAGACAATAAAGGACATAAATTTGGAACGTCTATGACGCAATATTAAAAGGGACATAGATTTGCGGAAAAGACATAGATTTGAGGCTGGACATAGATTTGAGGCTTACATATATATCAATAAAAAATCATGAATACCGAAAATTTGTGTTAACGCTTACGGAAGAATATCTCGAGAACGTTTTCAGTTAGAACTTTAACAATTAATATTCTTGAAAACTTAACATACTTTTTAAGTTTTCGATTTTGTTTAATATTTCAACATAAGACTGTCTCCCATTATACATACTTTTCCGCGTTGTCGCCTACATAAATATGTAAAGTATTTTAGTTTCCATAAGAATGCAAGTATCATTAAGAGAATCAATTTGTTTATTCAAACAATATGTATTTCGTCGTGTGAATGTTATAATTATGCAAATCCCATTTTTTTAAATTGTAGGAAATTGAATATTTCAAAAGTGCAATATCATATATATTTGACCCAGGTTTAAAAAAAAAAGATATGTAGCAATCAAATTTATGGACTTGAAGAGCAACTCTTTGTTCAATTATTATTGAATAACTTGACAACCATTTTAAAAAAATAAAGCATCCGTTTTTCTGGCGATCGAACACTACAATACACAATACAAAAATTGTTTTAGAAATTATTTCCATTATTTGTATTGGAGATAGACCATGGATTTTTTTTAATTCTGTAATATCCCCAATTCTGTAATGCTTGATTTGCTGAGTATTACTCAAAGATTTAGTTGAAATAATAAAATAAAAAACAATTAATCATATTATTACTAAGATAAATATGATAACAATTGTTTAAGAACAGTAAT